GTCCTTTCTCCTCAAAATTTAGACCTTGCATGTGCACTTTTCTGTGAGTGTCAGGGTAATCTCTGTTTAGCACAAAAGTTTTTTTTACCAAGAGGTCTTCTCTTGCCTGTACCTGGTATTTTCCCAAAAATCTGTCTGAAAGACGGAGAGTCAGTTGTGGAGACCGGCAACATTTCATCCACGACATATCTAGTCAGATCCAGTTTTGGTTGTCTAGCCAGCCATCCTCCGTGACTGAGGAGAGCTCACCTTTGGTAGGGTGTGTTTCCACATGCTCCATGTTGCAGTGCTGCCAGTCGTAGTAGGCGTTTAAGGAGGTTTGACTTGTCATCTTACCTCTTGACAAAATCAAAGTAATGTGAATATTTAGTCGCTAATGTAAGCATTTCCCTCTTCTAAGCTAGCTTGCTGTTTTGTGACGTGCATGTGACAAATACGAAAATAAAACCTTAAATATGATTGATTGTTGGAGGTGAAGGGGTTAACAACAAACGTAAGATTGTAATGAGTTATTTGTTTTAGGGGTTACTGTAATATCATTACTAAAATGTTATCAGTAATTTGCTGCACTTCTTGTTACCTGGGAAAAATATTATAACTGTAGGGCCCACTGTTAGCACTGTTAGTGATGTATCAATCATGTAATTTTCACCAACAGCATCACCTTAGTGGAGTTGTGCACCCTGAGAAATGTCGCTACAACAGACCCCAAGTTACTGTGTTTTGTTTTATATAACCTGGAGCTGCTCTGTGCGCATGGCTCACCAAAAGCATGTTATATCACAGATTACAACTGCTGGCTGCTGTTTATTTTGTGGGCTCTGCAGTTCAGTTTTGGGTCAGTTTCTCACAACACTGTGCAGTCCAACAGTTTTTGACATATGTGAAAGTGTTTGACAGGATGTTTCTGACGGCCCTGACAGAGAACTGGAATTGGATCTTGCTTATTCATCAAATACTGTTACTTTATAAAATGTAGATGGTTCCTTTAACAGCTTGTAATGTTGTTGTTGTAATGTTACTTTTGCTGCTAAACCATTAGAGAGGAGACAGAAAGTAAAAGTAATTCCTGCAGACTGGCTTATTGCTCCAAGCCTGTTTCAGTTGAAACTAATAAGTGTGTGTGTTTGAACTTTCCCCACCTCCAGGGCGTTTTGATAGGGAAGTGGACATTGGCATCCCTGACGCCACAGGCAGACTGGAGATCCTCCAGATTCACACCAAGAACATGAAACTGGCTGACGATGTCGACTTAGAACAGGTCTGTACACATTGTTATTTTCCTGCAGTCAGGTGACACCACACCACACACTGCTTCTCTGAGGAGAGGTAGAGTCATGTGGTTGTCATTATTGCCCGTATGTTCCAAGTAAAACTACATAGGAAACTGCATCTAATGCCAAATTGTTTACTGACATAGAATATGACAGAATGTAACTATTAAATGTGGCTTGAAGAATCTTGGTTGTTTGAGGGTTTTCCGAGCGATGATTTAAAATCTTTGTCCTAGTCCTAGCTTTTACTTTTACTTTCAGTATTAACAAACAGTAACCACAATCCTGCATAGTACACCTTTTTAACAAAAAACAGTAAATCAATAAATATAATCCATCATCATATTTAGACTTACTGCACTGCAGTAGTAGTGTTCGTGGTTGTACTTAATAAGGTATATTGGGTATGGTACTGGACAGGAAAGTAATATTGTGCTCTTTGTATCTTAATATAGGTAGCCAATGAAACCCATGGACACGTCGGTGCAGATCTGGCTGCTCTTTGCTCTGAGGCTGCCCTGCAGGCCATCAGGAAGAAGATGGACCTGATCGACCTTGAGGACGAGACAATTGATGCTGAAGTCATGAACTCACTTGCTGTCACTATGGATGACTTCAAGGTAAGAGTTGTGTTATGGTCTTTGGTATATGGTGAAAGTGAAATGTTTTCAATTGGCTTATATTGGCCCTCTGAGCTCGTACTAACATGCTTGATGCTGTCCTGCAGTGGGCCCTGAGCCAGAGCAACCCATCTGCACTGAGGGAGACGGTTGTCGAGGTTCCAAACATCACCTGGGAGGACATCGGAGGTCTGGATGATGTCAAGAGGGAGCTGCAGGAGTTGGTGCAGGTATGAACCGCCTCCAGACGTTAAGAGTGTCTGAAATGGATGTATCACAAACCATTATATTAGAATGTTTTATCTCACTGTTTATCTCCCTCTCCTTAAATTCAGTACCCAGTGGAGCACCCAGACAAGTTCCTCAAGTTTGGCATGACCCCATCCAAGGGTGTGCTGTTCTATGGCCCCCCTGGTTGTGGTAAGACTCTGCTGGCCAAAGCCATCGCCAATGAGTGCCAGGCAAATTTCATCTCCATCAAAGGACCTGAGCTGCTCACCATGTGGTTTGGAGAGTCTGAGGCCAATGTCAGAGAGATCTTTGACAAGGTAACAATTATGTTTTGGTGTCTGTCATTAAAAAAATAAATTTTGAATGTGTGCATTTATTCTGCAGCACCACAAGCTTCAATTTCAACCTACAGAATTCATTTTTATATTGTGTTGTGTTATCTGTGTGATATTTCCAGGCTCGTCAAGCAGCCCCATGCGTTCTCTTCTTTGATGAGCTGGACTCCATAGCCAAGGCCCGTGGCGGCAACGTGGGAGATGGTGGTGGAGCAGCTGACCGTGTCATCAACCAGATCCTGACTGAGATGGATGGAATGTCCAGCAAGAAGAACGTTTTCATCATCGGAGCCACAAACAGACCAGACATCATCGACCCTGCCATCCTGAGACCCGGCCGTCTGGATCAGCTCATCTACATCCCACTGCCCGACGAGAAGAGCAGGATGAGCATCCTGAAAGCCAACCTCCGCAAGAGCCCCATCAGCAAGGTGACAGTGCTAGCACTCATAGTTTCTCTTTTATTATTTGTTTGTGTGCAGACGTTTTTATTTTCAGTCTGTCAAATACAGTCTTAGAAGTGATTTTATTTCTGTGCTGTTCTTATAATACTCCCACTTTGTTAGAAAATATCAGCTTTTATTCATGATACTAGAAGATCCCCTGTAGGAGCATGACACAAAGAAAAGAAAATTATTTTGATGCAGCAAATCCAATCAGTGAGTCGCAAGAGAATTAAAATTTATTTAAGTATGGCTTGATAGCGTTAAAAAACTGCTATACCAGTACCCTTAAAGTGATACCGATACCAATAGAGTACCTCATTTGACATTACCATCCCATATCGTTTGCATTCATTTTTACAACTCTATCAATAAATTGCACTCAGTCACCACACCAGGCTGTATGGCTTGTAGCTGCTTCAGTAGTGAACCAATCGCATGTTGCATAAAAGCAAAGAATGCTTGCGGTGATTGCCTGTGAGCAAAACCATACAATGAGTCAATTTGTTCCAGAAAGGGGTTCAAAAATGATCAAATGCAGGTTTTGTTTGACTGGGGAAGTTTGATACTACTTGGGACTGGGCTATTTCACTGTATACCTTTGTTTTTTTTTTTAAAAAGGTATCGAGCACTGATACCTAGTTCTAATGATACATTTTCTGAACCTGAGCCTTTTTTTAAAATGTTTGTACTTTGTTGATAGGATGTGGACTTGGACTTCCTGGCAAAGATGACCAATGGCTTCTCTGGAGCAGATCTGACAGAGATCTGCCAGCGGGCGTGTAAGCTGGCCATCAGAGAGAGCATCGAGAATGAGATTCGCAGAGAGAGGGAGAGGCAGACCAACCCATCAGCTATGGTCAGTGCTTGTTCCTGTTCCCTCAGTCGCTTTTTCACATCTGAGTGAGCCTCTGTGCATTACCGCTTCAGATGTCTTGCCTGTCATCACCACTCCGTGTCTTTTTTTCCCCCCCTATAGGAGGTGGAAGAGGATGATCCTGTGCCAGAGATTAGGAAGGACCACTTCGAGGAGGCAATGCGATTCGCCCGTCGCTCCGTCAGTGACAATGACATTCGCAAATACGAGATGTTCGCTCAGACACTGCAGCAGAGCCGTGGTTTTGGCAGCTTCAGGTACGTTTTCTGACATTTTGTATTAGCATGAGTGCAGGTAGCTGTGTATTTAAGTCTTCCTCTGTCTGAACAGATATTAGTCATATTGTGTTTTTAAAAATGATTGTGAAAAGCTTTATCATATTAGTCATGGCATTTTCCTAGAATCACGGACTTCATAAGATAGTTATTAGTTCATACCTGCCAGAAATACTATTCACCATATCAGGTCAGTCACTATAAAAAGGGCAAATGACTCTTGTTTATCTTTCAGGTTTCCCTCCAGTGCTGCAGGAGGCAGTGGTCCCAGTCATGGCACAGGAGGAACTGGCAGCAATCCAGTGTTCAACGAAGACAACGACGATGACCTTTATGGATAAATGTACACTGCCCCACAGTGGTCAGTATCGGGATCACACCTGTACAAATTCTCACCAGATTCCACATTTTTAGGACTTTGTGCTTCTTTCATGTGTTCCCTTTTTTTGTATGACTTCCCTTGGAGAAAGCATGTAGCCGCTTGGTTTACCCTGGCTTTGATGTGGGTGGGGGTAAGGGGATGTTGGAAATGGAAGGTGAGTGACTGATGCTGATTGGGGAGGGGGGGACCGGGGTGGGGGGTGGGGTATTATTGAGTGGCCTCATTCTCCATATATCACAACCAACATGAATGGCTTTAGTGACGGGATTCTATGCTAGACTATAAGAAAGAAAAGAAAAAACATATTGCTTATGACTTCCTCTTTTTTTTTTAAATAAACAGTAGCATATAATGTATTACAGATTTGTCAAGGTTATGTTGTTGAAAATAAAATCTCACAAAATGGAAGTGTTATCAGTGTCCGTTTGAAACTTATTTATTGGTAGTTTACGTGCATTCTGTCTGATGAGGGTATCTGTACTCAATTTAAGGCTCGTACGTATCTTCTACATAAAGATAGACAGTAGAAACCTCTTACAGTGATCACACTCGGGCTAAATTGATCACTAAACAGATTGTTTTTATTTCTGTCTTTATATCATGCAGATAACCATCTAATTAACATTTTTATATTGATTACATGAATGCAAAGTAATGGTGGGCATCACGTGGACAAGCACAGGTGTTTTCTCTATGCGCATTTGTTTTCTGTCTCCATCAGCAGCAGCTATAACCATTGTCACTGTTTGAGTAGACTAGAAAATGGTAACCTGAGGAACACCAAGTTTCGTTGCAGCATCTCATTGCCTCATTTTTGGCAGTTTGTCTTCCTGTCATGATTTCAGTGTGCACACAGCAGCAGCCTCAGTATCATGGGAGTAAAGTATAAATAATATGTCATTTAAGAAAAGACTCAAACATTGTAAGGAGACTACTTGAATACTATCAGCAAATTACTTTAACAGCATTTATCCAGGAATGATTCTCCTCCTTTTAAGCAGTTTGTCACTGTAACATGATCACTATAAGATGTTTCCACTGTAGTTATAGAAAATTAAGATGGTGAATTTCATTTCATTGGGGAAATTTTATTGAGATTTTTTGTTTGGTGAGCCAGGAAGCATCAACAGGGAGAGGGATGAATGGATTTTCACAGCAGTTGTGCATTTAATTTTTTACCTGACATTGAAAAGGATAATTAATTGTTCATCAGTTGTGTTCAGCGCAACATGATTGAAAGTGTGATCTCTCAGAGCGGTGCTGCTGCAATGACTCAGTGATGATTTAACCTTGAAAAAGTCTTCACTGTGTGAGACATGCAGGCGATCGAAGCCATTGTTCTCAACTGCTTTTGTGTCAAGCTAACCCAAACTGATAAACATTAGGTCATGGTCACCCATTTAATAAGAATTTGCTTCAGGGAGCTTGATCTGAAAAGACTGTGGTTGATAGATATTAATTGTATAGTTATCAACCACTACTTATACTCACATTGGGCTCACTTTTATAGTGAGTTAAATAGTGAAAATTATTTCCCCATTTTCTGGCGACCCCTCTGGAGCTCCCCTGGTTGAGAAACACTGATCAAAGCCATTGTCACCTGGCAGAGTGGCAGTTCTGTTACTGACCACATAGTGTCACTCTGGCAGTGGAAGAAAAGCCAGTTTTCTTCACTGCAATCTCAATAAAGATAAGACTGGGGAAAACATGTTTTAAAGACTTTCTTCTACAAATTTAGTCATTTAACTATTTTTATTATGTCAATGACATTCTTCCCAAAGAGCAAAAGCTAATTTAATTTTGATTATATTTTCATTTAATGTAGAAATTTCAAAAACACAACATTCCTTGTGTGTAGACTCAGTAAGGATCATTGAAGGGGAAATGAGGATGTTCTCCATCTCTCCACACTCTCTTGCCGTCTCTCTGTGAAAAAAGACAATACATTAGTTAAGATCACATTATAGCTACATATATGGGTTGATTACAACAGAAATCTTCAGGAGTCAGGACGTTTGACCCAGATTCCTACAGTCTGGCTCATCAGAGACTCGTAGATCTAAAACAGGCTGATGTGTCAGCCATGTGGCGTCATCTGTGAGTCCAAGCTTTAAGTTAATTTTGGACTAAGACGGCTGTCGCATGTATATAAACACAAGTCATAGGTCTATATGGGCTCTGCTTGAGACGTCCTGTTAAAATCTTGCGAGGCATCATAACATCAGTGACTCACCTCGACTGTTGGGACGATGAAGCGCTCGTTGCGGTTGAAGGATTCAATCAGCTTCATGTCGTCTTCTGACAGAGAAAAGTCAAACACCTGCAAGTTCTGCTTGATCCTGGAGGGTGTCACACTCTTAGGGATACACATGACACCCCTCTGAACATGCCACCTGCCAAAAGGGCACCATATATTAAAAGCTAAAGAGGTTTGGTCCTGGTTGTTGGTATCTGCTACATCTGAGCTTAACTTTGAAGTTGAAGCTTTGGTTCTTACCTGAGTATGACCTGGGCAGGTGTTCTCTGGTATCTCTGGGCGATAGCTCCCAGTCGAGGATCCTGCAGCAGACTGGGTTCATCAGGAGAGGCCCAGGGTCTGTCCCCGCTGCCCAGAGGACTGTAGGCTGTCACACAAACTGCCACTGACCTGAGGCCTAGGGACATGCACCGTTACTGACACACTGTTACTGACACAGTAGGAACAATATTTGATGAAAGTGATCTTGAAGAAAATACATTTTGATGTCATGTTAAACTGCAGGTAGACTGACCGACAGTGAGACAGGAGATCTACTTGAGACAAATAAGGATGGCACTCCACCTGTGACACAATGAGACACACCATCTGACAGTTTTCAGCCTATTTCTGAATGACACCTTCTCTGTTGTTTATCAAACTTAATCAAATGTATTTATTTTGGCTTATGAGAAAGAACACTGTACCTGGTTGACCACAGGTGTGTGTCTGGCCATGTTGATGATGTCATCAACCTGTCTGGAGTTGAAGTTGGACAGTCCTATGGCTTTGACCAGACCTTTGTCCACTAGGCTCTCCATGGCTGCCCAAGTATCTCTATAATGTGTGTCGGAGTAACAAATACTTCCATCTTCGTGTCGAGGCATCAGCTCCTTCCCCCGCCTTAAACATCCACATACACAACTTCAGCTAATGTGACACTGTATCATTTCACACTGATTCACACAAGAACAACTATACAGAGATAAAACCAGTTCACTGTGTGCAGTCGCTCACTGAAATGCCATGGGCCAGTGCATGAGGTACAGGTCCAAATAGGAGAGACCCAGGTGGGCCAGACTGGTCCTGCACGCTTCCTCAACATCCTGCGGGTCATGTTTGGTGTTCCACAGTTTGGATGTGACAAACAGCTCCTCACGACGCAGAGCCTTGAGGGAAAGGATATACAAACATTTGCTGTACAATACAGTGAAAATACCTGATAGCTGAAGGTAGTTTGAGGTACATGATGAATCGGAGAGAGGGCATGAAAATGTTTCACACTTGCTCTGATATTGATAATCAGTCTATCATCAAAAGTTTATTAGTAGACAGGTAATAAAGGGTCAACCAACACCTGAAACCGTGTGATATGGTTGAAACCACAACAACAGGTAAGAGGATCTTGAGCAGAGATTGTTTTGTCAACTGCTGCTTCCAAGGTCAAGAAATGAACCGTCAAATTCAATATCTGATTCAAGCTGAACTAGAGTCTCTCACCTTACCAGGGCCGACCCTGACAGCCAGAGCCTCTCCCACCTCCTGTTCATTGCTGTATGCAGCAGCACAGTCAATGTGTCTGTACCCACAGTCTAAGGCTGCCAGCACTGCCTGCTTCACCTGAAAACACATGGACACAGACACAGTCCAACAATACTTCATCCTGTTTAAAAATGTACAGAAATATGGTTGGTCTTAACAAACAAAGTCTGCTCCACCTGTCCTGGAGCGCTCTTCCATGTGCCAAGTCCGACCACAGGCATCCTCTGCCCTGTGGAGAGAGTCACGAAGGCGCTCATGTTTTGACCCTGAGGACCTGACAGAGGAAAGACAATGACAGAGACGAGTGTGAGGTTTTCTCATGTGGACTGGACCCAGTCATCGTGACTAAGTCCTTATACTTAGTTACTGATTATCACTCACATCTGAATTCATTAACTCCCACACTACAGCACTCTGTGTGTGTGTGTGTGTGTGTGTGTGTGTGTACATACATTCAAGACTTTCATAAAGCAGTAGTCAGTGCACATGTAGACAAAAATTCAGCCTACAAAGCAGCAAAAATAGCCTACCATTCAGTGACCTGCTTCTTGTTATTCGTTTTTCATTCACTCAGTGTTTCAGTGGAAATATAAACCCTCTGCGAACCCAGCCTTATTGCTAGAAATAGCTGATACAGGTATATGGCATTAGTCACAGTGTGGTGTTACTGCAGCACATCCCAGAGCCTTTCCATGGTTCACTAATTGTCTGCTATATCCTTACCATGTGATGCACACACACACACACACACACACACACACACACACACACACACACACACTTGAGTCGTGTTTTCATCACTTCAGAGGACATTACATTGACTTACATTCATTTCCAGGAGACTAACCCTATACCCTGACCTTAACTCAAGTCTTCACCCTAAAACTTAATGACTCATGTTGTGGGAACTTGTGTTTCATCCTCAAGTTCAAATAAATACAAGAAATTTGTGCTCTAGAGAAAGGATCAGCACTCAGTGAATAACCTCCTAAGCCCTATGATAAGCTGTTATGGCAAGGCTTAACTATACAGACCAGTGAGCAGTGATAACTAACATGTCTTTGGGGTCATCTGGTGGGAACCTCCTTTCACCTGTGTTTTGTCTAGTTGGTCCCACGACACCTCTAGGAGGCTATACAGTGATCTCTGGCGTCCCAGAGACACTCCCCTAAAGCCAGCTCTCACTGCTCCCCGCACTGCACTCAAAAGGAAGTCAAGTCCCCACAGTGTGACTGTGTGAACAGATTCATGTCCCCACAACATGAGTAATAGTAGTGGAAAATGTATTCACATCCTTTACTGAAGTAAAAGTGCTAATACCACACTGTGAAAATACTCCACTATTGCATTCAAAGCGTTGCTGACTCAGAAGTATTTTTTTTCCCAGCAAAATATACTTTAAGTATCAAAAGTAAAAGTGCTCATTGTGCAGTAGAATGTTTTACTATTATATGATGTGTTTGGAATAATATTACCACTGCATTCATTTGTATGTTGCATTTACCGCCATAGATGTTTAAGTCTGTGTTCATTTAAACCCCTTTATATACTGTTTGGTAATTTAATCTACAGCCATGTGTCATATCCTATAAGATCATTATATGTTTCTGAGGTCCTCATGGTTGTCTTGTGAGAACTACATTCCCCTAAAAATTCAGCTTTTCATGGTGTCAGAAAAACAGCCCTGTTTTCAGCTTTGTAATGATGCATTTTCCAGCTAATCCAGGAGGGTTTTTAAGAGTTTACTGATCTTAAGAAGCTGGAGAATTTTCTCAACGCGTGAAGGAACACTTCATCCTTCTGTTTATCACAAACATTCAAAATCAACACATCTGGATATACATGGTTGTCACCAGACAGGAAGGGGATGAAAAACTTTCATTTGAAAAGTAATTAAAGCTGTCAGACAAATGTGGTGCAGTAAGAAGTATAATATTTGTCGCTAAGATGTAGTGAAGTAAATGTTAAGTTGCATAAAATGGAAATATTCAAGTAAAGTACAAGTAGCTCAAAGTTGTACTTAAGTACAGTATTTGAGTAAATGTGCTTAGTTACATTCTTGTAAGTACACACTGACACAGCACACCACACATGATCAGAGTCTCTTCACACAGATCATCTGCCCTGACTGCCTCCTGACCCAGCAGCAGAACAGAGCATGTAATCCACAAATGCTCTAACATGATACAGAGATCAAACATAAAGTGAAGTGAGTCTCTTTGTTTTTCAGTCTAGACTTTGGTTCCTACCTGGAGTTGCTCTGGTAGATGGAACAGTGATCAGCTGAGGGTAGCTGTCCATCTGGATTTTAACAGACTGAGGTCAAAGTCTGACTTCATTTGTTTATCTTAACTCATACTGTTGGAAAATGTCCAAACTCCACTCACAGAAACGCCACAGAGTTTAACATATATTGCAAATGTTTAATCGGACAGGATTCTTCTTACTTCCTTCTGGTGGTTCTAGGACCTGATGGCAGAGCAGTTAGTTTGTTTACATGCACTTCATCTTAGTTTGAGTCTTGTAAAATGGGTCATTTATATCCCTGTATGCATGATCATAATGGTATCCAGGATTCCGATCATCTTCTTTCCTCAGCATCTCAGTAATCACTACTTATATGCTTTATTAAAATAATAGTTCCAATACAACAAGAAAAAATTGCATTTAATGCGACTCCAAAATGTACTTAAAGTTTTAAAAGTTAAAGGCTCTGCAGAAAAATGTCCCTTGTGACTGATATGTGACATTACTAGATTTAATGCTGATGCATGCATGTGTAAGCAGCATTTTACTGTCATAGCTGGTGGAGGTGGTGCTTGTTTTAAATGCTGCTTATACAGTTCACTTGTTTGGTCCACTGGTTCTCAACCGGGGGGCGCCCCTCTCAAGGGCCACAAGATAAATCTGAGGAGTTGTGAGATGATTAATGAGGCAGGAAAGAGGAAAAAAAAAGTTCTGCTTCACAAATTTTTCTTTTAAACTTTTCTTATAGGGTCTCAGTTATTCAAACGAAACCATGTTAGCAATCTAGAGGGAAAATCTCTCATTAGTGAAACTGCTAAATTATGCTATTTTCTGATAGTATTTCTTTGAGATAATCAATCATTTTTCTCCTTGTCTGTAGAATACAATATAGTTCCTCACAGGACCCCTTAGAAGACAAGAGAGTTAGGCCTATAGGAGAAACATTTACAAAAAGACTCGGTGGGTTCAAGATTAAACCCTTGAAATATGAAAGGGCTCTCTGAATTTCATAGAATTTGGGGAAAATTAAATCGAGTACATATTGCACAAATCTTTGAAATTTTATATAACTTGTTTGCATGTGTTGTGCATAAGGGGAGGAGGAAAAGGACAGAGATTATTTTTGTGGCGGTTTTATTATCTCATTTTTATTTTTTTGTTGTCTTTTTTCCTTTGTTTTCTTTTCTTTCTTCCCTGTTCTATCTGAACTGACTGATTGAAGAGGTGTCATGATCTGAATTAGTGGTTAAGTCCTCATTTCATTACTGCATGTTGGGGTTTAGGTGCTTTTGTATGGTACGTTTTCCTTATTGTGCTTTGGTCTTATGGTGATGTCACTGTCTTGCTAATTGTGCTTGTGTGCTGTTGTCCCTGCGTATGTGCTTTGTTTTGTGCTCTTGTGTTGTTTGTGGCTATGTGCTTTGGTCTATGTTGTGTTTTATGTTGTACTTTTGTTTTAGGTTATATAGTTAGGTCATTGTTTCACTAATAGTGCTTATGTCTGGTTGTGCCTTGTTATGTGCTTTTGTCTATGGTTATATGTTTGCTCTGTGCTCATGTGCCCTTCTATGGACATGCCATGAATCCATTTTTATCTGTGCTTATGTGTTTCAGTGCTTTTGTATGTTCTTTTGCCTATTTCTTATTATTTTCTTACATACACTTATTTATACACTTTTGGTCAAAATGCTCTTCAAAATGATCATAGAGGGCTCTAGGAGGAACCCTTTTACAGATGTTTGTATAACCCTTTTTTTTCGGGCTCTAGATCGAATGCTCTTAAAAGTTTCCAGGTGGAAACTTCATAAAAGGTTCTGTTGGGAACAAAAAAGGGTTCTAGTTAGCACCTTTATCTCTAAGAGTGTGCTCATGTTGCTGATAATTCTTGAAAGATTAACTGGAATGACAGACACTGTTAAGTTCACGCATTTGGTTTATTTGTTGGCATTTTGAAAAGATCATAAATATTGTCAAATGCTCATAAGCAGTGACAGTGTCTCTCAGCAGCAGCAGCGCTTGTGCATTCAGGTCGTAGCCACAGTCCAGCGTCCCTGAAGGCTCTGAGAGGCAGGACGCTCACACACTCAGGCAAGTCATTCAAGTCTCTCCCATCATCTCATAATTACTGCAGTATCTTCTTTGACATAAAAGTGCATTTATCAACAGGTTGCATTCAAACATTTTCCCATACACATGATCTAAATGACCTACTAGTGCTGCCTGCACAAACCATGCTCACACATACATCTTATCATTGCTGCAAACTACAGTAGGAAGAGCTGAAGATGGCTTTCAGAGCCCCCTGCAGCTGAGACAGAGAACAGCTGCTGCAATATTACAAAACCTGTTTCCTAAACAGGGTTTTCTACTTGAAAAAACAGATGTAAAGTTTGATGTACACATGTTACAGAGGACAGAAGCACTTATCAAATCACAAACTGAAACCATGAAACCAATAATTAGACACCAAGGGTGTCTATTTTTGGCACTGCTCACAGTAGCACCGAGACATGGCCTTCAAATGGCACAAGAGAAAGCAGAATATACACAACAAAGCTGAGTTTCCCAGAGAAATCTCAACTACTTACTAATTCAGATTAATTGAATGTTTTCACTCCTCTGGGAAATCCAACCTGTACTTGTACGGCACTTTACAGGGATGCACTGGCAAAATTCATCAGTTTTGTATCAAATCTCTTCCTAAAAATGTCCTTGCTTACATACAGTACATTATGGGGATCAACTTCACATTGCTTATGGACTGTGTTTTCACCAGCTCCCGATGGCAATGTCTAACACAGCATAGGGCATCGTCTGTTGTGCACTTAACATGGCTGGTTGTGTATATTACAGTGTGACCTGTGTGTGTGTGTTCACATGTGTGGCATGACACCGGGCTAAGGCACCTAAATGTCCCTCATATAGCGAGCCAGGCTATTCAGTTCAGAAGGGAAAGCACCCATATCATGTACAGATTGTATTATCCAAGCTTACACTGCTGTTACAGTATGTGATTGTCATTCCCAGATTTTCCACTGCAGCTGAGATACGCTAATATTTCTTGGAGTAACGCAGGACTTTAAGTGCGCTGTGGCATTGCACGCATCAGGATACAACAGATTTTAGGAGAGACAGATCTTACTAAACGGCCTACAGACTTAAAGCACAATGCTTCATCAGACTGAAAGCATGGGAAAGCAGGTGGCGAGTGGGGGAAGGGGTTATGTTAAAACTGGGGTTTGCACTGAACACACTTAAGCTGCTGGAACACTCAAGGTAAAAATAAATAATCCTATCTGAAACTTCCTTTGGAAAAGAAAAACCTGGAAAAAATGTTTCTTTTTAAAAAATATCTCACGCTTCATCCTATCACAAAAAGACGAGGATCAGAGTTGGACAGCATATAAAACCACTGATAAATCCGTAAAAAACAGAGTTAAGAAAAGACCAGTAAAAGCCACGGTTGTGCTGAGCCCATCCTCAGCACTGCTCCACTGTTTGGGTGCCTGTGTGTGTATGTGTGTGTGTGTGTGTGTGTGTGTGTGTGTGTTGTATGTTTGAGCCAAAAGACAAAACAAACAAATAATCACATCCTGATACTGCCATTCGTCTCGGCATTCTTCCTTCATCCTCCCACTGTGAAGTCCCTACAAACTACAGTGTCTGTTTAATGCTGCATGCATTATCTCAGGACTTGGGGACTGGAGGTGGGAACTATGCTGAGGGTCGAACCTGGAGAATTAAGTGTTGGTTTTCTGGGTTTGGGTAATTTAGTTTGGAGTGTTTGGTGGTGGAGGAGCTGAAGGTGAGTCTTCCTAAGACTGGGGGAGGTGTTGTCTGATAATCTCTCTGGACTGAGGGGGGATCCTGTCGGGAAATCGGACAGAAAACTCCACGATGAGATCACCACGCTGTGACGGGTTCTTGGGGAAAGGCAGACCTTCTCCTCTGAGCCGCTTCACCGTCCCTGGCTTGATGATGTCATGACAGGGGAGCGAGATGATGCGGTTTTCCAGCGTGGGAATGCTAACTGTACAGCCACACAACGCCTGGAGGAGAAGAGAGGAGAGGGGCATGAGAGGGTTAATATCTTAATAAGGAATGAAATGCCAAAGCTGTGAATATCTCGATGACTTCATGTTTCCATGAACTAAAAAACTTTAGTTTATCTTGCCTGAGTACGTCATCCTAACAAGTCAAACTTCCACGTGTTTTCTGTGTGTGTTCATCGTCTGTGTGTGTGTGTGTGTGTGTGAGATAGAGAAAGTAGGCCTCACTGATAAATCCTTTTAACATCGTCTGCAGAACTGTGGGGTCTAAAGAACAGCGTTTGGAACAGGAGCATTTGGAAAACATGACTTGGCAGTGGAAAAGTTTTCCGCTCTTTGTGTCTGTGTGTGTAGGTGGAAGAGGTGTGTGTGTTTGTGTAAGTGTGTTGGAGGGGCTACACATTGCACAGGGGACTAATTTTAGCAATGGTCTCATAGCCGGGGCTAATGAAGTGAGGCAGGAATCGGCTGAGCTCGTAAATAGTTGGAGGGCTTGTCAGATGGGCTGGCAGGACGAGGGGAGAGAACACACACACACACACACACACACACATGCACACACACACTAAGCCTCACCTCCTTATCACAATGCCTCATGAATCCAGTCAGAGCATAGAGAGCGCTAAACTAAACATGGGGACCTGTGGTTATCACGACTTCACAGGCTTTCCAGAGAGCATCACTCGCCAGATTTGTGCTGAATTAAGAGAACTATTTAAATCCACAACTCTGTGAATGAACATCCTGATGAATAAAAACTTTTCTTATGTAACGCATTTTGAGCAACTGTTACAAAACTATTTACTACACAAAATAAGGCCAGTGAATAAATACCACAGAGGTGTGGAGGGAGGAAGAAGGAGAGCCATTGTGGTCAAATTCTAATCCACTAGCCTTGAAAGGGTTTAAATCATGTAGTTATGAAAGAGAATAATAGAACAATAACTCAGAGACTTAACAAGGGACATTGAAAGTAGGTATTCTCAATGATGATACTGGGGTGTCCTGGTTTAGACACTGGTCATACGCTTATAACGAAAAACAACGATTCTTAGTTTGAGTTGATGATACACAAAGAAAAACATAGCTAGTGCAATTATATTCAATTTCTGCCAATATATCCTCCTGAATCCTACACTCTGGACCTTTAACCATCATGATGCAGGATGTCAACATGCTGACATTTGCCAGTTAGCAGTAAACAGTAAGTACAACTGAGGCTGATGAAATGTCATTAGTTGTTCAGATGTTTGGTCATAAATCAAAGTATCGGACAAATTAAAATTCAGACCTGACTATGGCACTCGATGAAAAGTCAGGGGACCAGAGAAGCTGTTGCAGTTCATCCCGAGGGGAACATTAATGTGAGTACTGAATGTCTTGGCAGCCTATCCAATAGTCATTAGGACATTTCACTCAAAAAGACAAATGTGAAAGTCATGGTGGCACTAGATGAAAATTTAGGGATCAGTAAAGTCATAGTAGTCATCTGGGAACCATGAATGTCTGCCATTTTTTGTGTGAAGATAAATCAGTTTGGACCAAAGTAGTGGACCAATCGACCAACATACCAAATGACTGACATTGCCATGTCTAATGTCGAACTGCTAGTGTTTTTTCAGGGGAGAAGTTATATAATGGCATGTGTGTGAGTTATAGGAACACATACCAAGAGTTAGCCAGCAAATGATGCAATTAAGTATTTGTGTGGTACCAAGGACTATTAAAACACTTCGAAATAGGCTCATTAAGACTTGAAAACTCTTTTAAAGATGGAATTCATGCTGAGAACCAGTGCTTAGCAGTGTCTTAGATAAATTCTTCAAGCTATATCCTACTCGGGGCAACCTTTTTGATGTAAAGGAGAGTACTGGCAGTTCAAGTTCCCCTCATCGTTTTCCTCACCAATCATCTTGAGGCAACCATCCCCTTGTGATGTAATAGTGATTACCAGCATTGGCACATGCTTAACCTTTAACACCCCGTCCATGTCATTATGTGGCCAATGTTGTATCAAGACTGCTGGAGGATTTGTGTGTCTCGACTTGTGCTTTTGGATGGGATGGACACGCAGACAGTTGTAGTTCATTCAACCAGAGCAGCTGCTTCAGAGGACAGACAGAGTTTTCCAGCCATGACATCAGCCTCCTTTTACCCCCTACATACATTAGAAGGTGATTTAGCCTATGACCGTGATGGAGACTAGTGCTCATCCTCCTGTTATGGACAGTCCCATTCACTAACAGGAGTCTTACACACAGAGACAGGTTGCCATGACGCTCGGCACACACTGCCAGCTGATCTGAGGACCCACTGATTGCGTAAGCCTCAGCTCAGACAACATAGCTGTAGACACTGACACAAATGCACACATGTACACTTTGATTTTATTATATTTATGAATATGGTCTGTAGATTCATCCCCTAGGTCCATATCCTAACGCTGACCATCACTTGTGCATGCTTAACCTGACTGTTATGATCAGCTATTTTTGGCTAAAAAAGTGTCTTCACAATACAATGTGTCCTCACAAGATTGCCCCTTACTACACTGATGTTCTTAAAACTGGTTGCTATTGTTGTCTTTCATTTGACTGACAGGACTGAAAACAAAGAGTTGCTAAAAAAATGCACATGATGTCTTACTCCCACTGATTTAACGTCTCCTACCACTGTGGATAAACACTTGTCTTTCTAATTGATATTTTAGAAGTGGAGCTGTAAAGAGCTGTCCACCTTGCCTTTAGAGCCCAACAGCTACAGTTAGCACCTACGTGTGTTTGGACGTGGGTTTTGCTGCTGAGCTGAGTGCAGTGGTGACAGGAGCTAGAAATGCATTGCCACAGATGATACCAGCACACTGCAGAGGCATCGTTAACGCCATAATGAGCCAGGCTATAGATCCAGATATAGGTTGGTTTCAGGGAAATCAATGTGTCATATTCCTGCTAAGCTTGCTAACTGCTTCTAACTGCTGTCACAGTGAAGACATCGCAGGGGTGGAAGTTGCCTCAAGCAGACTTTCCCTGGAGTTTACAGGTTGGTCAAACAAGCTTGGCGGCACTAAATGAAGCTGCCCATTGGGGCATGCTTCAGGCAGTAAACAAAACCGAGCAGTCAAATAGCAGGGGAATCATACAGCAGTTGATATAAGACAAATGATAGACTACATCTGCTTCCTCTACCTTTTCTTTAGAATGAGCATTTATTACAAACAATCGCCCTGTTAGCTCGGTTATATTATCTACTGGTGCAAGACATTTGCAACATTATATGTTGCAGCTTTTCTGGTGTGCACCATGTAGCTGGTGTTGTGTTTTCACTGCAGCATTTAGCATCACATCTTCAGGGAAGCAGCACAGAGTGGAGCAGTGGAATATGAGCTCTTATTTGCTTTGGATACTGAATCATCTGACCCACTTCCCTAATATTCCCCAGATACCCCCCCCTCCACCATCACCACCACCCCCATCCACATCTCCCCTTCTCTCCCCCATCCCGTTAGCTGCATCAGACTTAAGTCTCTTATCTGGCTGCTGTGAGGGCAGAGGACTTAGCTGTGGGTGTTCTGCAGTGCAAATTTAATCGTAGTGCAGGTTTGATCAAGCACCATCTCCTACTTAATGCGACTTAATAAACTCCAATGTGCTCTCATTAACCAGGCTGTCTTCATAGATGTGGTATGTGTGTGTGCAGGTATTCTTGTTTACCGGTGAATTACTTCTGTAGAGTCGCTGCTGCTTTTAGAGGACAACTGTTCAAAATTGGCTTGAGTGGAGTACAAACAACTCCCCTGACATCTCCAACTCTTTGAGAACACCTGCTATTAAGCCAACCATGTGGAACGCAGGCCAGTGAGTGGCAGTGCTATTAGAAACATTAAAGCTTGTGTAATTCACAGACGGAGCAGAGCTGTGCTGGACCCGTTGCCCTCGTAGGAGCGGCTAATTAAATGTCCTGCCAGTCACAGTAATAGCAGCCTGGATTGTCACCACCATCATACTACAATCCATCTTTAACTGAGTGTGTTTGCAAATATGCTGGAAGATGCAGGAGTGTGTGCGCCTGCGTGCATGTTTATTTCTGTGTGCCTGCTTGCATGTGTGTGTAGTGATATATATTCATGCAGCAGTGCAGAACAACTGAGGACGATGGGACGATGCAGGTCACACAAGGACACAACATTCCTGCTGCTTCTCTCGCACTGCAGCGACAGAGACTCTGCTGTTCACTGATCCTTCCCTCCAGCAACACACACACACTCACCTCTCGGTGTGTTTCATATATGACCACCCACCCAGGACATAATCCTACCCTTAAAATTACAACTACACCTCTTCACCTCATCCACAGTTTGCCCAGGTTGAGTGACAAGAATAATACAAAGTGTGCCATTTTTGGATATTCATTCAAGCCATTGCAGCTCCATGAATGCATTAAATTTCTGCCTGGTTTGCTCCACTGGGAATCAAACTCCCAACCTCAGCAGCATTTCATCTACATGCAGACAGAGAAAGAGCTGAGGAGAGAAATGAAAACAGATAGCAAGACAGAAGACAGAAAGGTTAGATGAACAGGGACGGACGCACCTCTTTTAGACTGATCTTGCAGTTAAAAATGATATTGGAACCGTCTCTCTTGAAGTGGACGTGTCCTTTGTCTTTAAGTACAAAGGCTATGTCGGCAGGAATGTTCTCCGGGGTCTCGTCCCCCTCCTTTGGGAAGGTGATCTTGGTCCCCTCCTTCCAGCCCTTCTTGATGATAATGTTGAGGATCTTGTCCTCTGTCCTCATGCTGCGCCCATCCGGGTTCAGCCTGCGGCGGGTGATCTTCATGCGCTTGGTGCAGCCGTGGAAGATCTCTTCCAGCGAGACCTTCAACTCGTGGACCACCGGAGGGTCCTGGTGCTTTCGCCCGGTACCCAGGCGCTCTGACGGCACACCCCTCCTCCTGCGGCCCTCCCCTGGGAAGCCATTGTTCATCCCTGTCGGAAAGCCGAACTGTCTCCCGATATGAGCTAAGGGGTCATCCTCATCCATATCCATGTCCTGCTCTGCATCATGGTCATTGTGGAAGGAGAAACCGTTGGAGCGGCTGTGGCTACGGTTGGAGCCAAAAAACATGTCGAAGGGGTTGGAGCCGCCAAAGAAAGAGGCAAAAGTGGCGTGGGGGTCTCCATGGAAGGTGTAGTGGTACGTCGAGCTGCCAGGAGCACCTGAAGAGCTGCTGCCTCCTGTTCTCAAACCTGAGGGAGAGAGAGGAGAGAGAAGAATGTGAGACATCACATGCACACTGAAACGCCCACCACGCTGAAAAACACACATCAATGCGAACTCAGATACCAGACACAGGGCAATGTTCAGAAAAGACTGCATGTGGGTAACAGTACAGAGAAGAACAGAGCCCACGTGGGCTGGAAAAATCCCACAGCATCACTGATCTTCCAACAGCGCTGGTGGTGGAAGAACTCATGAAATACCAGGTCACTCCGTCCAACATGCTCACACAAATACACACCGTGACGCACACACCTTTTTCAACAGAGACACATGCACAAAACACCCACAAACGCAAACTACAGCAGCCACAGCTATTCATATCTCAACCACGTAATGATCTTAAGCCATCTGTCTGTCAGCTAACACACACAGACACACACACACACACACACACACACACTACACTAACAGCTGAGGTAGACTATAAGGTATTAGAGCTAGTAAGTGTTGTTGACATTAAAGATAACAATAGCAAATCACACACATTTCTGCACATATACACACACAAGAAAACATGGAAGCGACACAGTATTATTACTTCAGTGACTGAAGCCCACCAAAGCCTTCCACTGTGATATTAGATGCTCTTCTTGAGCTATTTTAATAACAACCTAATACTTCATAATGCCTGTTTAACAACGCCTGCACTCTCTGACCGCTTTCACTCAATCATCCCACACAGACACAGACAGACAGGATAAAACCCAGACATGGGCCCCTCCTCCTAACCTTCCTCTCCTAGCTGATCATACACCACCCTCTTCTTGGGGTCGCTGAGCACCTCATAGGCCTCTGCAATCTCCTTGAACTTCTCCTCAGCGTTGGGATCCTTGTTCTTGTCAGGGTGGAAGCGCAGTGCCATGCGCCGATAGGCCTTTTTGATCTCCTCCTCATTGGAGCCCTTGGGGATGCCCAGGGTCTTGTAGTAGTCTTTCCCCATAGCTGCACACACGCATACACTCTCGAGATTGGGACCCCCGCCTCTTCAGCTCAGGCCGTGGTCAGTCACTGTTGAGATACAAAACTACTGTTATGACACTCATCGTGGGTGTATGCTGGACAGACCAACAGACTATATATGACCTGGCAGAGGTGCAGAGTACACTCAGTGCTCTTTCTATTTAGTGATGGTTGGAAATGGGCACACAGAGTGCTGGTTTTACTAACTGTTGCTATGGGGATGTGGCAGCTGTGTTGATGTGGAGTCAGGTAGAGTGTGGAGGAATCCCCTGCATCTGCTTAATCAAGGGGCTTCTCCCTATCTGCAGCAGGTATGGACAACACTGGGAATCATTCCTTTCAAAATGCACTTTTGCTTAAGTGTGATATAAATAGCCTAACATTGTCTTGGCTGTTGGCTGATGATGTGCTGTTTAACCAGCTGGAGACACACAGCATGTCAGACAACAGAAACCCCTTCACTGAAACACTGCGGTGCTGCTGAGCTGCACACAGTGATCATCGAGTTGACCAAGACAGAAGAAAGTCGATAAAAAAGCCTTTTACATTTAACATTATAATAACGCCTCGATATTCTGCTTATAATAATCTCTTGAAGACAAAGAGATGCCGGCTCGCATTACATCATGGAGCCCCAAATCCTACAGCCCGACAATTTAAACCAGTAATTTACCAACTACTGGATTACACCGACCGATAAACCACACATATTTTCCATATTGGCCCATACAATAAAAATGAAATATTAAGTGTCGGAAAGCAAGGTTCAAAAGCATGACACGAGAGCGGGGGAGCGCTTATTAATAGGGAGATAATCAAAAAGACCGGACATGAAAATGAAACACAGATATTCCTACCAGAATGCTCAGCAGGATATGGAGAATATCAGATCAGCATGGTCCGGTTCCTCTCTTTGTCTTCCTTCAGCCCTTGTTATCTGCCAGCCGCCCCGGCACTGCTGGGTCCTTATGAATTGACGTCAGGACGCCGGGCCGGGAGGATCACAGTCTCTGAAATAACCGGTGACCAAACACTGAACTGCATCTGACGTTTCACTGGAAAACCTCGGACAACTGCCCATCCATCCAGCCTGCCATCAAACCTACACAACCCCCACTGTGAGACGGGCTGGGATCACTAACAGCGGCAACACAAAGCTTAATAAAAGTCATAATTATTTAAAAATTAATTAACTTATTATAGGAGGCAGTGATGCGAGGTTAAAGCAACTCTAATCATGGTTGGTAAATCTGTCTACTCCCCATCTATCATCATGATCTTCTTCAGTCCTCTGCAGTGTAACAAATCTGCATTAATCTAAGCAGCCTAACATCCATTAAAAAACCATTTCCTTACCGAGCCCGCTGCCTCGTGTCCGATCCTGGTCCTGGCTGTGTCTAAAGGATCCGCTCGCAGTGTGGAGAGCAAACCCAGCCCTCCCTACCAGCAGCCAGCACGGCTCTTTGTTCAGGGTCTGCTCACAAACACGCTCAGCACTCACACTGAGGTACATTTAGGGTGAAGTTTGACTGACAGCATTGCTTTAATTCTCTCTTTTTGCAAGATTTAGCAGTGTGAGCAGAGCAGGCATGTCTCAGGCTGTGGTTCACTGTGCAGGGAGACACAGGGGAGAAATAGAGAGAGGGAGAGAGAGGGAGTCCTGAGAGATGATAGAAAGACAATCACCTGATAATATGTGCGTGATCGTGTAGTCGTGCCTGGGTTCAGTTTGTACAAACACTGACTGCTGAGTCATGTGATGACTCCATACACACACGCATTTTTATCTTCTATCTATAAAAAATAATGAAGATGCATTCAGAGTCACACACCTTGCTTTACACAACACCAAACCCTAGAATCAAACCCCAGCTATGACCCTGATTCACACAGTGCCCCCACATAACCCACCCTGTCCTCACATTGTCTTGACCCTTAAAGAGACAGTCCACCCCCTCAAAAATATATTTTTTCTCTTCTTAGTGCTATTTATCAATCAGATTATTTTGGTGTTGAGTGAGATATCAGCAGCAGACATGCCAACCCTCTCTCGAAATGAAAGTAGACTGAACTTATGGTGCTTAAAACATCTAGATTTATAAAGATCACTACAGGTAAGAGGAAAAATATGTAGGGGACATCGGGGATAGTTGGGGCATGACATAGTTGCAAAACCGCCTCCAATCAGGAACAAGTTATGAATCACCTGATTCACCCTGCACATGCTCAGTTTCTCCTTATGCCTCATGCAGTGGCATAAAGTAGTTATGATGGCCCCAGTGTAGCTACCCTGCACATATTGTCTCGTCACATGATCAGACACTTTATATTGGATAACATCAACATACAGATTACCCAGCAATCATCACTACATATCTGTACATAACAAAAAATTACAAAAGTTACTGGCTCAAGCGGGGGAGTTCAAATATCTCGGGGTCTTGTTCAGGAGTGAGGATAGAATTGAGTGTGAGATGGATAGGCGGTTCGGTGCGGCCAGAGGGTGAAGCTTTAGATTTACTGGCCCATCTGCTTCCCAACCCTCACCTATGGTCATGAGCTCTGGGTAGTAACCGAAAGAATGAGATTTCGATTGAAAGTGGCTGAAATGAGTTTCCTCCATGGAGTGCCTGGGCTCAGCCTTAGAGATAGGGTAAGGAGCTTGGACATCCGGAGGGAGCTCAAAGTAGAGCTGCTGCTCCTTCACATCGAAAGGGGTCATTTGAGGTGGTTCGGGCATCTGATCAGGATGACTCCTAAGCGCCTCCCACTGGAGGTGTTTCGGGCACGTCCCACTGGTAAGAGGCCCTGGGGTAGACCCAGGACATGTAGAGGGATTACATCTCATCTGGCCTGGGAATGCCTTGGGGTTCGCCAGGAGGAGCTGGAAAGAGTTGCTGGGGAGAGGGACGTCTGGGGTGCTTTGCTTGGCCTGCTTCCCCTGCGACCCGGCCCTGGATAAGTGGATGAAAATGGATAGATGGATGGATACATCAAAAATACCAATGAAAAAAAGGAATTAAGAAATTATTAATTTAACATTTTCAGTAGTTGAATAAACATGACAGAGATGGCTTTACCTCTTTCAAGGGAATATATGGCAAACGGAACTGCTTTTAATTTAATGATAGTTCTTCTTTGAACACAGGCATATTTTGAAGGTGGCATCACTTATAAGGGCCCATTCTCCACTCAACACATTGTTGGAGGGCCTACTCTCCCTATGAGGCCTCCATCTCACGGGCCCCAGTGCAACCGCAATGCTTGCACTGTCTATATTTATGCCCCTGGCCTCATGTGAGGAGTTAGCAACCCATGGCAGACCATGGATGTATTAAGCGACCTGGATACAGCATTGGCACAGAGGCCCTGTTTATTCCTATCAAAGATGCTCAGTGGTGAATGAAACCAAAAACCTCTATTTCCGCAGCATGAAATTACCTAGATGATCAGTGCTGCTTCTGCATCATTGGGCCACACTAGAGACTTATGGCTGCCGAGTAAGGCTGAGTATGGCTGGGCAGCCAACTTCTGCTGGCCGAGCGGCTGACTTCTGGTTTAGCGCTGCACTAACTTGAATGGGGATAAAATAATTTAATCTTGCAGCACTTTTAGACTTTAAAAATGTTATCCGACCAGATGGATTAAATCTTGATAGTGGAGTCATTTCAAGGGTTGTGACGCTCACAAATATTTATCCACTGATTTACAGATGTGTCTTTCCTCATGTAAGTCACTGGGAAAAAGTCTTACTGAGCCCAATGGTGTCATGTAAGGGACCCTGGAAATTGCAGTACCACTGTTTGGCCACTACCTAAATTGGCATCAAAGCTGGCACGCTTGTCTGATTTGTAGTTATATTCATCAAACTTAAATGATGTTTATTATGTGTCTATATAGACATCTTTCATGCATGTTGTTAGGGCTAATGTATTAGCTGCTAGCTGTAAGGTAAGATAGTTCAAGAGTTTGAGTTAGTTGTAACATAATGTAAGAAAATGTTTCAACCTTCCCCAAGCAAAATTTAACACTGTGACTGACTGACACACATGTTAAAGTCAATTAAGTGTTGAATAAAAAGCTTTTAATATCTTAATTTTTCATTATGATCCTTATTTCATAATCTGACATTTTATCCCAAGCTATGTTACAAATAACGTGGACATTAGGGTGATTTGTAACATTTCACTATTTGAGTCTGGCCCTCACCAATACACCCTTCCTACCCAAGGGGCGGCACTAACTGAGGCATATTAAATGCCGCCGCACTCAGTTGGATAGCACGATAGCCAATCAGAGAAAAAACAAGGTGACGTATTCATTGCACTAAGCCCCATTTGTTTGCCGAACAGTGGGGCTAACTGATATATAATGCTTTTGCCGTATCCCGTCGGCAAAATGGCAAAAGCTTCCTTCTTGGAAACGAAGGCTTCTAGGGCAGTCTTCTTTTCCTCTCTCAAGAAAAAAGACAAGTGTAGTTGGCTTAGCGTTTCTTCCACAGCTAAATTGAATGGACGCGGTCCTTCGGCAGCTGCCATCTTGGCTGTTTACTTTTCGACTCCTACGGTGCAGCGCTGTCTTCATCATGTTACGCCTGCCCAGAGCCCGTCTCTGTCAGATAGACTGATCTGATTGGTCCGATGGCGATTCACCGCGCTCTGCTTGTCGGGGCCAGATCCCTGTGCAGTGCAAATTCGAATTTGCTGGGGGCGGGGCATCTGAATTTCCAGGTTAACATTTTACTTCTTGTGTTCGAGACTAAACCATGCATTTCCTGTTAGTGTTGCAGAGATAGCAGCTACACCATAAAAAACAGACTCAAATAACTAGTTTGTATCACATTTTGAACACAATGTTACCAGCCTCTTCTATTTTTGATTTTGGGGTGAACTGTCCCTTTAATGCTGGACCTCTCCACAGCTGAATGTTCTGGTACAAATCATCCCTTTGAAACATCCCACTCCCTTAACTCTAAACCATAAAACTGATCTCAACATTAACCCTTTTCACAGCTCCACCTTAGCACATATGTCAGTTCAGTTGATATTAACCCCTTAGTAGTGCTTATTCCTAAATAAATATTTGATAAAAATATTAGTTGTTGGAGCCACTGGGCCCCTGGTGCTCTGACAACCTTGGGGCAGTTGCCCACGTTGACTTGTTGGTAATTCAGCCCTGCTTTGCCCCTAGTTTGACCTTATTTGAACTATACTTTGAACAGTAACCCCGACCTCTTCATCAGTCACACAACCAGATAAAACATTAACTTGTTCAAAATGTGCTCAGGTTTTATCCGTCCTTCATTGTGAGATTTTGTTCTTGCAACAAACTACACACACACACACACTCACACACGCAGTGTCTCTTGAAGGCCAAACATTGCTCCCTGACTTCACAACTGTTATCAGGCCAGGGCAGATCAACAAGCAGCCTACCCAGCTTTCTAAAAATCACACATATTACAACACCGGCGGAGGTCTGAGTCATTATTGATGACTTTTACCGTTAAGTAGGTACTCTCAGCGGGGCGAGGCGCTTCTGCTCTGTTGGGTCAAAGTCAGAGACAAAGAGAGAAATAAAGACTCATTTAAGTTTGACTCATCGCTCCCCACTGGACTGGCGAGGAGGTGAGAGAAAAGTGGGTGTCTAATTTGGAGGAGCCTGTCTGACATACACAAATACACACTTGCTGTCACACACATGCATGTAGTCACACACACTAAACATTCAAAACAAGGCGAGCACACAGAGAGAGAGAGAGAGGCATTCCTGTGTGTCCAGCTGAGTGTGTGTTTTGGCAGCAGGGAGTGACTTCAGGCCAGCGCAGCTGTCCCTGAAGAGCAACTGGTCACGGTGGAGTGCTATTCACGCTCGGCCCTCTGTTCAGCCTGTGACGGACACTGGGACATGTTGAAATCAGCTGCAATGCGCTGATGGAAACCTGCACCCGACTGCGGCAAGCATACACACAGGTTACACAACAAACATACTCATTACTGTCAGCAGGTCTTGCATAACTTGTCAGACTTCAGAGAATATAATCACATTTCTGCACTCCACACAGTGTTTGTTTTATGTCTGAAGCTGCCAATGATGACCGAGGGGAGCCGATCCACCACGTGCTGCTCTGATTGCTGAGCGTGCACTCAAACAGTCTGGGAACAACTATTCCTGACCTGATGCTGGGTTTCCATGGTGACACGGGAATCTGCCAGACAGTGATGTGTCTGTCAGGAATACTCTGTCTCAGCAATGGTCCTATGAGCACGTGTATAGGTATATGTGAGTGTGTGTGTGTGTGTGTGAGAGAGAGAGAAAGAGTGAACATGGGATACCGTTTGAGAACAAGCTGTCACAGAAATACCGACTGCTTCCGTGTACTCCACCACCTGAGCTGAGAGACACAAGAAGACAAGGTCGATTAGATGGCGAGAGGCAACAGACGAGGGTTTCACATAATACACCGGAGGTCGTTTTGGAGTTTGAAAAGAAGGCAGCAGTGAGCGTCTGCAAGCATCTCCCACCTCCTCTCTCTCAGCCACAGAACACCCCGTCCTTTCCACCTCCTCTCTCACTTCTACCCTTCCTGTAACCATAGAGACCACCATTGCCTGAAGAGAGGTTTTCTCCCAGACAGACGCGGTGGTGTTAAATGGGGATACTGGATGTATGTGTGCACGCATGCACACAAAAGCACACAGCTCAATTTACAGACCCCCTTCCTGAACAATCTTCTTTCAGCTGGGGACATGTAGCTCCGCACAGAAAGAACAACAGGACGCGAAGACAATTAAATTACAAAGACACAGTACACACTTGTCATAACAGGCTTCTTAGACAAGGAAGCTTTAATTTCAGTTTGACCATCTGCAGCGCTATGCATGGAGAATGCAGATTACAGGCCAGTTTTGTTGTAGAGGTTGGACAAGTATTGCTGTCTGGGTCTCTTTGTCTCTCTCACTTGTTCTTCACAGCTTGATTTATTAAGCAGTTATGCGTCCCTCCACGTGACCTGTCCAGGGAGTAAACATCAGTCTTCCTGCTCTCAGAGGCTTCATGTACTACATATGGTCCCCGATCACAGAGTTGAATTGGTAAATACAAGCTGTGAGACATTCAGTTCCCTTTATTGAACATAGTCCTGTCTCCTTTGTGCAGCTCCCTCCTCCAGCAGCCCCACAGACCCATTCCTGATCACTGACTCATATAAAAGAAATGCTTTTGACATTAACAGTCACCACATAACACAGGCAATAAGGTGAGCTTCAGGCTGCAGAAGTGCAGCACGATTATTATTAAGATGGCACAGAGCAACAGAAGTGGTGAGCCGGCTAGGGTGATTAAAATGTGAAAACGGCCTTGGATGTACAGTACAGTGTGGAGGTCTGATAAATCTGAATCATAATCTGCCTTTGTCCTTACGTGAACCAACACGTTTTTGAATATAAATCCTGTTATATACCAGCTTCAACAACTTAACAGCCCTGCTCTCTTTGAAATACCAACAGCATCAGTAGCTTGAGTGCACTCGCTACTTTATAAGGAAGCCAAGTGGTGTGGGACATTGTGAGTGGTACTCTGTGTATCTTGTACTGCATGTGCACATTCAGTCTGCAGTTTTTGTACCCAACAGAGACAGACAAAAACAACCGGAGTTCATGGTTAAGAAGGTTTTAAGTAGCTGAGCAAATAAAAATAACATGTCTTTGGCAGAAACAAGGAAAGCACTTTTGGCTGGACATAAACATAATACTGGCAAATGTTCTGTTACTTGACATGGTCACTTCATACAGGCAGTCACTGTCTTCATCTGCATGTGCACAGCATCTAGGATTGATTTCAGATTGTAGCTTCTGATTAGATGCTAGCATTAACAGCTGACTTTAGGGAGTTGTACCAGCCATCAAACCCTGCTGCCCAGCTTTCCTGGTATGTCCCCCACCCCATTCTAAGAAGGTGCTACTAAACTTATAGGCCCTATTAGATCTGTCCTTCAGCTTCCTTCAAATAATCCATGGACCCTTCAACTTTTTTCTGTTAGATTCCACATGCAGGTGCGAAATTTGCACCTAAAGCCCAGCGTTGATTCATGACTTCTGCTTAAATAAATACGTGCAACTTCCTCTCAAATCAAGAATAGAACAGGTTGTGGTGAAAACCAACAGGCAAGTTATATAAAAAGCAACAAGGCATAAACATGAGAGAAGAAAGCAAAGTGCAAGTTAAAGATTAGAGGTTAGCACATAACATTTCTTATGCTTCTGACTGGGTTTATGACTCCTCATTGAACATTAGCAGTCAAAAAGTATTTTTCACAAATGCACAGCGAGCTCTGATGAACAGTCAGCGTCTGTCCCACAAAGTCCTCTCTGATGAGATACGTAGCTCCTGCTGATATAACAGCAACAGCAATTCAGTACCAGTGTCATTACTAGAAAACTTTGTGCTCCAGTAAGATTTTCTCTGTGCAGAACAGAGGTTTGCTGTCAGTGTATTTGCGTCCTCTCGGATCTCCAGCATGAGTGTCAGGTTCAGCCATGGCTAACGGATAATGTGCAGGTATCTGAGGTCAGGGTATAGGAGGTTGGCTAGCAGGGCCAGCAGCCGGGGTCCATCTCTCAGACAGTGTCCTGGGTAACGGATGAACTGGACAGCTTTATTCACAGAGTCCTCTAACTCCGCGTACTGCTTATTGCTGGGCATGGCCTCCAACACCCCCAACGTCTGCATCCACAGAGAAGACGAGAAACTCAAGTTATTTTTAGGAGATAATTGCAGATTAGAAAATAAAAACAACATACTTGCAGTTTTGTTGCATACTTGCTGTGCTTTCGCAGAGAGCTGCAAGTCACTGGTGGGTTGGAGACGAAGCTCGGTCTCTGATGTCACCTGGATTGACAGGAACGCTGCCAGACTGCGTACTACCACCCTGAACCTGGATGTACAGTGGGCATGCATTGACAGGTGGTTTATCAACAATGATGAGCTCATATTTTCCCCTATCCGGTTCCTCTAAGTGTTTTCATTACTTAATAAAATACATATGAGCTTACCTATTAGAAACAGGAGACCTCCTACCCAGGCCGATAGCTCCTAAAAGCCCAGAGTTCAGTCTTTCTTCTCCCAGCTGAGCCAACCTGGTTTGTAACCTCAGCAGACCCATGATGACCCCTGTCACCTCTGTCTGACCTGCCTGCAGCTTCAGCTGCTCCGCTGACAGACTCAGTGTTTTGTGCCACCAAAGAAACAGCTTGGCTTCATCACCTGGACCACTGGATACACAAAAGCACACATGCTGACGTGCTACATTGACTTTTAAAAGCCACTAACAAGCAACCAAATGAGAGAACGAGGGGTCAAACCTGGGAAAGACCTGACTGGTCCATGTGTTAATTAGAGCCAGAGTCCTCCTCTCCTCAGCTGCTGTGCGTTCTGAGTTGAGGCGCTGCAGGATGAAGGCATAGAGCGTCAGGAAGCTGCCTCCTGATTGGCTCTCAGACAGGAAGTCATCCACTGTGAGCTCAGGCACTTGCAGCGCTGCCAACACAGGACCCCAACCTACGGACTCCTCCTCAGCTGAAACACACGCAGTGGAAAAACAAATGTGAATCCTTGACATCACATTAAACTATCCTTACTACAGGGAGAAATTTAAAGGACTAGACTAACTTTTTGGGAAAATTGGTCAACTTACACATAAGGAGAGGACTGGCAGTAAATGAATCAAACAAAAACTGTGGACTTTAAAGAGCTGCATGTAACATCGAGAGGATATCTATGATCCAGAGTCTTAGCTGGGATTGCCTGCACACGGCTCTCAACATGGCTGATCTGGTGCTAGCAGCTAACAGTGCTAACAGTGTGAACAGTGCTGACAATGGCAACAGACTGGAGGGTGAGCCCGACGCTTCTGTGACAACGTCAGGGGTTGGGATGCCGTAATCCGTGGTAACTCCCGTATGAGCAGAGTGGTGGAGATTAGCTAGCCAGTAGGATACACACAGAGGGACTCAAATGCACTAACATCCGCGTGCAGCCAGACCAGCTACCACAACAAATAAACAGAGAGGCTCGGATTACAACATACACAGAGGTAGTGTGACTTCATTCTCTGCTGAGGACACCATTACTCCACCATGTCTTTACAAAGCAAGTAGTGATATACTGCTATACTAATGCTCTGAATGCTGCATACAGCTCCTTCGAATGTCCATCTTATGTAAGACAGTCTTATGTAAGTTTATGTACAGCACACTAACATGTGCGTGGTTGCATGTGCACAGGTTAGAGGTATCTACAAGAGAAGAACGCTTAATGCTTCTATGTCTATTTTTGTCTTATGTTTTGGTTTAGCCCTTCACACTGAATTGCCTTGTTGGCCTGTTTTATGTCCATTCCATCTATTTTTATGTGAAGCACTCAGTGCAGGTAATTGCCTTACTGTGAGGCACTTTAGTGCTAAATTTCTTGTATGAAAGGTACTGTAGAAATAATGTTTATTATTATTATTATATTATTATTACTAAGCACTTCCCTCTCACTATAACAGTGAGCGGTAAACTGAACAAGCTTTCTCAAAAAAGAAGTTTCAATCCTTAGTAATTTAAAACAAAAAAACTCCCAAACTGTTGCTTTCATTACCATGGTTGAAGTATGCTGTGATGCACGCCTCCATGATCCGTGTCATGTGCCGTACCGATGCAAGACAGCGGGAGCAAGCCGTGAGAAGAGGCAGAATAGGGAAGCCTCTCCCCTTCCTGTCCAGCCAGGTAATGACATGAGCAGCAAGTGCCTCGCCTGTTGAGACACCAACTCCATTCAGCAAAGCCAGAGCATCACTGAACAGACCGCAGAATGCCATGTGCCTCTGCTCCGGCCCCGTCTCTGTAGAGGAGAAAAGGAGGAAGTGGTGAGATTGGGGTGATGAAAGAATTTATTATTAATGGTTGATTATGTTGTCGAGGAAGGCGGTGAGGACGACTCACCTGGTGGGTTGAATGTGACGACGCTCTCCAGCAGTGACTCCAGCTGAGCCTCTAGGCTGCTGAGGCTGATGCTGCCCCCTTGTTCCAGGGTCACCAAAGACTGCACACACCAGCACACATACGCTCCAGCTTTCAGCGTCTCCTCCTGACACATAGAAAGTGACACAAATTTTTTTTGTTTGGATTAATGCTCTACAGAAATAGATACATGAATATATGCATCACTTTGTCATTTTGAATACATCGTACACATTATATAAGTATGTGTCCCCAAACTAAGAGCTCCTGTCCCCTAAAGCAGTTAAAATCAAGGTAAAATGCAGGCATTATTTGGATTCTTTCAAATAATATTTAAGCATTACATCATTTATTAATTATTACTGCTTTATATGCAGTTTATCTTATCCAGAAAGACTTTTTAAAGTGAAAAAGAAAGATGAAATCTGACTCTTGAGGTAAAATATGTCAACCTTACCAAAGGTAAATGCCTTAATTAATTTCAGATATCTGCAGTTAGTTTCAGTTAGTACGCATCTAATTTCCACATATTTTCATGCATATAATTTCTGGTGTAATAAGTAGTACAAATGTTTGGCAGCATGTTTTAGGAGTGGAGTTGATAAAATTAAAGCGAGAATACATTTCTGGATCTTAGAGTGTTTCTGTGTACAGTAAAGCCTGGAAGTATATTTTGCCAAAATCCATCTACTTTGGAGCATTATCAAGTGGTGTATGAAACTGCCTTCTGCTGCTCTACGTCAACAGCAACTGTAAGGATTCAAGTGTTACATTTATGTAATTTGGTGATACAGAGCTGGCAAAGGAAACTGAATTCTTTAAGTCTAAATTTAATATGGATGTTCCAAGCCTCCCACTTTTACACAGGATGTATCTGCCCGGGGCAGAGTAGTTGCAGATATAGGAAGCGCATTAATTCTTATATTCTTCAACCTTAGGACTCCTCTGCATCATACAGTTATTCAATGAGAGTTATACTGTGACTAGTATCTCCATTCAACCAAGAAGTTGACTCACAAGAAATCTTAGCATTAGTTTTCATTCATTTATTCATGCACTTATGAATTATTGATTGACCAGTTTAAAAATGTCCAATATACTGCATGTACATTATAAGTGAGTATTTTCTTTATACATTTACGGGTTTTAACCCTTGACTCGGCTGCCACCTACAACGAACAGAGCTTAAATTTGGGAGATGAAACCCACTTGAATGTACTGCAGCTAGAACTCAATTTAGAACTTAAAGGGACAGTTCACCCCAAAATCAAAACCACATATTTTTCCTTTTGTAGTGCTGTTTATCAGTCTAGATTGTTTAGGTGTGAGTTGCTGTGAGAAGGCAGACATCTCTACAGCTGATATCTCCAACACTCGGCAATTCAAACCGATCAAAATCAATCTAGGCTGATAAACAGCACAACTGATAAGAGGAAAAATATGTATTTTAGATTTTGGGGTGAACTGTCCCTTGGCTTTACTAAACTTGGGATTTGACCTGTAAAACAAACATGTCTATATTGTCTCACCCTGTGTGGAGCTTCATTAGGGCGGGGGTGGAGACCAGCAGCGCTACGCAGTGATTTCAGCAGCAGCTGAGGTGCAGAATCAGTACTGAGCAGCAGGGAGGGAGGGTAGTGGGTGCTGACATATCCCAGAATGCCCTGGTATGAGGACAGGTCCAGTTGGTGCCAGGGCAGAGAGGTGGATTGGACCAAAAGACTAAGTAGAGGGGAGTCCTGGAGGTGGAGGATGAAAAAAACAAACAAAAACAGAATAAATGAAGAAGGAACAGAAAGTCTGGCCTTCATGAGAAACTAAAATATTCTGGACTCACCTGTTGACTCAGGATTTGATCCTCCTTTGCCAGAAAAACTAGCATGTATAATAGATAAACTAACATGGTGTGTGACTCCTTCTGAGTGTCTGGTAGAGTCGGATATGTTGTTGAGGTGGGGGGTGTTTGTAAGTGGTCACTCAGGACGCTGAGCCAGTTGACTTCACACAACACTTCTCCTAGAAAAAGAAAGCAGCTCTTGGGGCTTCCTCTCTCCACCTGCAGACACAGAAAGGAGAGAAAATTAACAGAAATCCTCTCCGTCAAAACACAGAACTACAAACACAACAAATATCCTGGGTCTCAACCGACTGTACTCAAAACATGTATGATATCTGACTATATGTTTGACTCCTACTTAAGTAAGATGCACATTCATTGCTAAATTTATAATCCACTTATCTTGAAAGTATTAAGAATATCCTAATTATAAATCTGTTGTAATGTATCTCTGTTAATTAAGATGACTTATTTATCTGTGCAGCTTGTTTATAGCAGCCTCGAGAGAGTCTTGAAAGACAGGAGCTTGATTCCAGGAACAGAGAAGTCAGACTAATAATAGGAACTCAAGGCCAAGGACTGACTTCTATAATAAACAGGCTCCCCTGTGTTATGCATGTCTAGATCAGTGTGCAGTGTCTGCGGTCGGAGGTTAAGAATCGGAGGGCAGAGTGTCTCACATTGAAGAGCTGCTCCATTATCTGAGTGTCGGGGTGAAGGTGTCTCCAGGGCAGGCTGCGGAGGTGTGTGTGGTACAGGTACAGAAGGTACTCGGGTGTACGGGGAGAGGTGCAGCTCTGACAGTACTGCATCATACACAGCCACAATGCGCCTCTCTGGCCAGGGACCAAGCGATCTGCAACACACACACACACACACACACACACACAGAAAGTTTAACAGTACACACTCATGCATGTGTGAACACAGGACTGCTAGGAACCCACCTCTGAACTTGTGATGCAGTGTGTCGGTGAGTTGAGCGTACAGGCCAACCAGACATCCTGCCGCACTCGCGTCTGTCTCCAGCCAGGGGTAACACTTCAGGTTACTGAGACACAGAGACACAGAGACATAGATATTGACATCCTCTTTGTTTTTCATTTGCCTTACCCTGGAAAGCACTAAACCGCTCTCTTTGCATCGACCCGGAGAATCACTACACATCTCAGGCCACACGAGAGATTTTATTGTGACTTAAAACTCAGAAGTAAACATCTAATGTGGTCTTTTCTCTCTGAGCAGCGTTGTGTTTGTGGTTTATTTTGTGATGTGTATAGCAATCTTCAGAGATTTAAAGGGGACCTAATATGCTTTTCCTTATTTTCTGTCATACATATAGTGTATCCATGTTGAATGTCCGTATTAAACATGGCCAAAAATTTAAATAATGAGGTAAATGTATGGAAAAGTAATCCCTCTGAGCTTCAGTCTGTTCTAAATACTCTTTTTGATATTTTCTTTCTGCTTCAAGACAAGCTGATGTCAGCTTGTGACAGATTTCTTTATATGGTCAGCTGCTCCAGGCACGCTACTGCAAGAGTTTACATTATTTAGCCTACACTGGTACATGTAGCTACAAGCTAATGCCAAGGAAAGAAGTAATTCTGGTTGGCAATGTTGTTAAGTGTTCCTAATTTTAGATTGTAATTGTGTTGGAACATGTCCAGAAATGAAGATTTAGGTTTAGAAGCTGTAGAAAGTGCCGCCATTCTTCACTGCAATCATTCTCCCGGCTGCAGAGACGCCAGGATATGGAAGATTAGGAAATGCTGACCAATTAGAGAAGACTGTTCTTTTTCCGTAAGGGACTTAAAGAGATGGGCACTAAAATGGAGTGTCTCAGACAGAGGATTAATACAGGTGTTCCAGCACAGACAGTATGAGGATTTTTTTTAAACATTATAGTATGTAAACATGTTTTAATAGAGACCCAAAACACAAGTATGAACCTGAAAATGAGCATAAAAGATCCCCTTTAAAAAAAACAAAACAAAACACTGCTCGTTCACTAAGCTAACGACTGCGACGACAACATAATCATCTGCTATCTGCTCACAAAGAGGCAAAGATTACATCTGTAAAAACCTGTGGAATGTTAATATTTTTGGTCTGTAGCCCTCTCTGGATTTGGCTCTGTCTGTGCTCACATCTGTGTCACATCTGCCTCTCTGACAACATCTAACCCACCATCTGCACGAGATCTGAGGGTGTGCCATGCTTACCCGCCATCATCAGTGTCCAGAGGAAAGATCCACGGCTTAAATAACTTCACAATCTTGCTGTGAAGGTCCTGCAGAGCTGTGAGAGTGCAAGACACATTTGACATTGATAACACTAAATCTGTTGAAGTGTATTTATGATCTCAAGTATTACTGTCCTCAACATGTGCTGACATTTAGCAGTTACCTTTCATTATCTTGCCGCTGCCCACTGACTCTCTGGTACAGCTGCTGAGGTGCATGCTGATTAGACAGCCAATCAAGTGGTCCCAGAAGGAAACAACATCACCGATGTAGGGAGTCCAGGCTGAGTAGAGGCCGAAACTGCTAAGGTCTGGCTTATTGAGGCGACTCCGCAGGAAGTAATCACTCAGCCACTCAACTGTCTCATCCACCTTTTGGAAAGCAATGAAATCACGCAGCGTGGCTGGATTAGCAATGAATGTTAGGCATCATTCAATTCAACCTATTAGGCTTGTATTTTGCATTTTGTAGTGTTACAATGAGTCTTTAATAATGAGGTAAACATATGTAGAAGTAGTACAAGTATGACTCTGAAAATGAGTATAATAGTTCCTCTTTAATGAGACAGATAGAATGATACTTTGTAAGAATCTGTGAACAGCAACACCAACATGAGTTACCTGCTGAGGGGAGAGGCTGATGGGGGATCTGTAGGGAGAAGCCGGGGGTCCGACAGCACGGCCGGAGACATCAGTGGCACTGAGCGTTTGTTCCGCTTTGCTCTTGGTATTGCGGGACGGAGGTAAGCAGCCCAGCACTCGCAGAGTGACCTTCCAGCACTCTGGACTCAGCAACTGGTCTGAGGAGCCTGGTGAGGTTAGGAAATGCTTTGATTGTTGGAGACAATCAAACATCTGAATCAAAAATTCTTCGTCTGATATCCGATTTCAAATCTGTGCCTTCATTTGCAATCATTTTATCTCATGGGGACTTAAATTCTGTCTTGATAAAACCCTCAACTAGACACACACTTCTGGAGACGGATTTTCAGCTTGATGGAATGATTCAGCTAACTTTAATTTTCTTAAATTAATTAATTTTATCTTTTGTTGGTGGGAAGATGAGTAGGAGGCATTCTTTCAGAAGGATGAATGTGTTTTGATGAATCACTTGAATGAGCAACAGCAGGACTAAAACAGCATTTGCTTTTAAGTGCATTTCCAGGCAATGTGTAATATAACAGGAAAAAAACCCTGCTGTTCATGCAAGTCTTTGATAGTTGATTTTCATTCTGTACTATTGTGCAGTCTAATGTGGTCTAACCTTTCATTATGTGATGTTCTATAGGCAATTATTCAAGGAGGAGATTGAAAAATAGTTTCTAATGGTTTGAGTAAATGATGATTCACGTTGTGGCTTAATGAGTTAATAATGATATGAATCATCAGATTTAGTTGGGCAGTCTTTACACAAAGACACACACACACACAGACACACACACTTACTGGTCATAAGCAGACGCAGACAGTCACTGTAATGATCAGGGAAATGGTGGCGTAAAAGCCAGGTCCAGTGTTTAGTGAAAAGGTGAAAAGGCGTGAGAAGTTCAGGCTCAGGGTCTCTGCCGCAGACACAGAGAGCTCCGTGGACCAACTCCAGCAAACGGGTCCTCTCCGAAAACACAGGGTGGGCTTCGTTCAGCCACTGGGACAAGTCAAACTACAGGGGGAGAGACAAAGGTGGGTTACTATAACGGCTTTAGATAGACATCATATTCCCTCACTGGGTTGCATTTGTGTCTACGCCAACCTTTGTGAGTAGCATGAAGATGACATCGGCGCTGTCAAGGTGTAAAGATGTCACCACGTCTTGGTAGAGAAAGACGAGCTGATTGGGTGCTGAATTGGGGGTGAAGAAAGGTGAAATGAGTGGGCAGAGACGCCTCTGCTCCAGGATTGTCTTCAGAACACGACTACATTCCTCTGGATTGCCCTGGATAAACACCTGGACATAAAACACAAGTACAATGCCAGTCAATTCAAGCAAATCTTACTCATTTACAGAGAGTGTAATGAGAGAGCTAACCTGCTCTTTTTAATCAATTGGTGGTCATGAGGTGAGTAAAGGTGAGTCATTTTGGGGGTGAATCCTTTCACAAATCCTACTAATGCATATTTGCTCCTTTAGCCTATTAGGGCATGCTACTTTAAAGCTAGACAATGCTTGAAATAGGCCTTGTACTGCTATGTGTGTGTGTGTGTGTGTGTGTATATGTACGCGTACCTGTCCCAGTATCTCCACACAGGAGGAGAGGTACTGGCGTGTTGGGGGATGTCGCAGTGTGTCTTCACACACAAAGGAGACCACCTGGTAGAAGGCTGACACGCCAACATGCTGCACGGCAGGTGACTTCTGTCCCTTATACATATTCACCAAAGCCCTGAGCACATTAAAATGCATTAGTTACAACAGATGTCTGTTTATTACCAAACTCATATTTATTGTGATGATGTTCTTGCTTTTTTTTTTTCCTCTCAGTAGAACAAAACGTTAATACTGACGTGATAAAGTTCTCAGTGTGGACAGCAGCCTGGGCCAGGCCTTGAGGTGGAGGAGCCATGGCGTCGGCTTGAAGCTTCTTGACGTCCCTGCGCAGTGACGTTATCTGTGTCTGCACTGCCTCTTGTCTCTGGACCCGCTCACACTATGCAGTGACAGAGACCACACACAAACACATAAATATTTCACAGATAAGAAACGATAAAATGTACTAAACTGCTGCCACTGTGTGGTTTTAGTGGTCGTACTGTGACACTGATGTTTGCAGGTCCCTGACACGGCTGCCCGCCCTTTCCTTTACACTCCAGGGTCATGGTGACCTGCTCCGGTGTGTTCTTATACAGCAGAGGAAGGCTCTCCAGCAGCTCCTGCTCCATCGCCACCTGCTGGGCTTCACGTGCCACTGCAATCCTGACACCAAGGTGAACAAATATTTCATAATTAGTGCTTAGCTTTGTGATTTTTGGTCTGATGTGTGGTGTTTGAGTCTGAACTATTCAGCACATTTCTTCGTATGTATGTTTGCACTCTGTAAAAGGGTTCATACATAAATTACAAAATGATATTTAAGGACCCTTAAGTACTTCTTCAAGCACTATTTTTTCATTTTCTTGAAGAAAATAGTTTATTTTCAAAACTAATTTTTGATTTAATACAAATAAATGTGATCTATTCAGTGAAGGGTTACTTGACGCACAGGACGGGCAATGTCCCACACATCATAGTTTATTTTTACTTCACTCTAGTATTCCGCTATTTGAATTTTCCCCCTCACAACTCTAGCATTTCAAACACCTTGTGCAAACCCCGCACTGTTGATGTGGAAATGTCGTAATGTTTGTACCTGGCCTGGTCCTGCAGGATGCTGAGGTCCTGCCGCAGCAGTTCAGCAGCAGCTTTAGAGTCAGTGAGGCAGGTGGTGGGGACTTCAGCTACTGGAGGCTTCTGCTGCTGCAGCTCTGGAGCTGGACGGGGAACTGGATGCTTCTGCAGGTTGGACAGGATACGCTCCCTTGCTGCACGTACACAAAGCACAACATCAAAACTAGTAACTACCAACAAAACTCATTATCAGACATTATGTTTGTTCACTTTTACATTTACCACTGCATGTCTGCAGAGGTTTTCATAATATTTTGGATCTAGACTGTCAATTTTGGCACTGTACCATTTCTTTTTGTTTGTTTTATACTTTTTATGTCCCAACATTTTTCACATTTCAAGGACAGTACATGAAAAGCAAAAAACAACAACAATTAAAAAAAAACAAACAAATGTGTAATGATGGGATGATCAGTACATCAATGCAAATTTACCTAATCTAAAATAAAATAATGTGCTTGGTATGTACGATAATCATGAAAAATCTGTCTCATTGGTTAAATAAACACACAATTTTTCCACAGATTTTTTGGAGTTGTATGGAGTAGTCCAGGGGTGTCATACTCATTTTAGTTCAGGGGCCACATACAGTCCAGTTTGATCTCCACTCTCCAGTGGGTGATCAGCACAACCATTACATAATAACCTATAAATAACGACCCCTTCAAATGTTTCCCTTTTTTAGTGTAAAGATTCTGAAAACCTTCATTCATTTACAAAACAGATGATGAACAGCCCATGATATCCTCAGTCAGTCTGCTACTCATTTTGATTACATGGGCATCTCTTTCATAATTTCCCACTAAAGTAGAAGCTGTTGAAGAAGCACGTTAAGTCATCCCCTGCCTTACAAACTGTTTACAGAAGTTTTGTCAGTGCCTCAGCAGCAGGGTGCCACCCATATTGTTTTAAGATAGAAGTTTGGTACAGATTCTTTTGTACTGAAGCTGCTGGTTGACCATATTTTGCACAATGTTCAGTATCTTTAAAAATGACTACAGTAAGTATTCACTGATAATTTAGAGAGCTGTATTCTGGTCAGGGCAGAAAAGCCTATGAGGCTACATGAAGTATCTACTCACTGTTAAAACCTAACACCTCTTAGCCTTCACAAGTGCATCAGTATGAGGTGTGCAAAGTCATCCAGTGGGCCGGATTGGACCCTTTGGTGGGCTGGTTCTGGCCCCTGGGCCATATGTTTGACACCCCTGCTCTAGAAGATGTAGATGTTTAACACTATTGACATAGAGGCCTGCAGAGGGGCAGTATTCCTGGAGCCAGTATTTAATGATGACATTTTTACTTGCTAACAGCAAGGTCTTTAAGAAGTAGACTCCGTCTTTACTTGGCCTGTCAGGCATATGTCCGAGATAGAGGGATGTGAATGAGATACTAAAACCCAGATGACTGTTTCTACTTCCCTCCAGTAAGTCTGATAAAAGGACAAGACCAAAAAACATGAGCATGATCGACCACGATTTCTGCACATTGCCTCCAGCAGCATAGCTGAGTTTGTTTAGACTTCTGTTTGGGAGTGATAAAAAGCAAATCAAATTTTGGCTCTGTACCATTGTTGAGGCTGGTGTAGTCAGTGAAGCCGGGGTTTTGGGCCTGTAAGAAGATTGGCTCACTCTGAACCTTTTCCCACAGAGAGAGAACCTCTCTCTCATCATACTGCAGACGCTCCTGGTCAATAAACTCCAGCCACAGTTCCTACAACAAAACATGACAACACACATACAAATGTAATGATGCAAGACTCCACAATAAGATTTAACTAACCTCTTGTACAACATGATTTTCATTCATAAATGTAAACACATATTACGCCAAACCCACCTGCTGCCGCTGCATCACCTGTGCCAGTCTGTGTGGTTCATACTCCGGAGGAAGAGAGGGAAGGTATACTTCCTGCTTCTGCAGAGTCTCATCATCCAGCCATACGGCAAATACACCAAACAACCTGTAGGCAACCAATTAGCTGAGATCTGAGAGCCTGTAATTGCTCTAATGGCTACTACTACCTGCCGAACAACAGGAAGGAATGTACTTGAGTGCACCTACCTGACCAGCTCTGTGTGTAGCTGAGGTGAAGTGAGGTAAGGGGGACGGGGATTGTCAGGGCTTTCGTCGCCTTGGCTGTCTGATGAAGGTGTGTGTGGTGGGGGCACCCTGAGGGCCTGGCTGGCAGCATGGTGGAAATCTGAGACCTCCTGTAGTCTCTGTCTCAAGTCTCTGAGTAAAGCGGCCTGAGAAGAGGCCTGGAAGAACCTTCGACCAATACATCCACCTGCAGCCAGCCTGGTGGACGACACATACAGAAAAAGACATGGTACCTTCACTTGGGTTTGGTCTAATTCTTGGTGTCTTGAGCTAAAGATACTACTGCGTGTGTGCACCGTACCCATACTCCGGTCCTGGCTGTCTGAGGTAGAGCTGTAGGAACTTCTGCCAGACCAAGGGAAGGAGGGGGTGGTCAGGGGGTGTGGCTAAAGCCTGACACGCCCAGCGGTACACCTGCAGCCGCTGCAGAGATGGTGCTACGGGCAGCTTCAGCCTCTGCTGCGCCTTCTGGCTCAGACACAAACACACTGTTAACCATATCTTCATACAGCATTCAGGATTATGAATCAGCACTACATCTGGGGCCTCATCACAGACACTTCCTAAGTCTGAAATCCTATCTTATCTCAGCTTATGACATTTCGTTTTTTCCCCCCTCTATTATAGAAACAGGTTTCCTCACTGCTTTTAGGAGAAAATCCCATCTTTTCTTTGGACAGGAATTTATTCATCACAGAACAGCCCTAACTTAGGGATTCCCTAAATGAGGAATCTTATATTAGGATGTCAAAGACCCTGTTCTAAATTCAAAATATCTGGAAAAAAAAGCAGCAGCACTGTTGTTAGGTCTGGACAAATCCACGTGCAGGGGCTTTCTAAACCAACACCATTATGGGATGAGAGAGCCGCCACTATTTTTTAATACCCAGTTCAGTCTTTCAATATATTGATTTAGCCAATTTTAATTTAGTTATAGCACTCACTACTTAGAAATTAAAAAAATGCAAAAAAAAAAAAAACCTCCAAAACTTTTCATTCCTACTTCCATCTCTACAATCATCATCTACATTATTGTTATTAAAAAACATCTGAAAATGACTCTAGTTTGCAAAGATTTTAACACTTAATTGATTCATTTGTAATTAGGTTGTTGTTTTTGTAAATTGGGCATCTCTAACAATTTTGTTTTACTTCTTAGTCAGGAACTCTTGTTTAATTATGCAATCTTCACTTTTCTCTTTTTCATTTTATGTAGGATGGTTGTTATTTAATAGGGGAGGTGTCTTCATCAGCCATTTTTGGCTTCTAACCTCTCCTGCACAATGTTTGAACTCTTAATTTATTTTTTCCTGTATTTTCTATAGATGCATGTGCAAATAAGCTAAACTAAACTAAACTTAACTCTCCATTCAAGGCTTTTTGAGCACCCCCCTTAGTTCTATTGCGGACGAGTGCCGATTAAGGAATCAGACTTGCAGTTACAGTGAAGATGCCTTAAATTAAGACAAGGTGAGAGATCTGAGGTAGACACAGCAATGAGTCATAGGAAGACAGGATTTTCCCACCTTTAGACCTTAAGTTAAGATAGGACAAGCAGTTAGGATATTTTCCCTAATGAGGCCTTACACTGCAAAATACTCCCAACCCTGTCACTGCCCTTTGACCTTGCAAACACTCTGTTTATGTTTAGTCAAATGTCATACAGAGGAAAGTTGTGCAACATTCTCTCCTCCACTGACTGTGTCCTGTATTGGGTATCGTCTTGTTAATTCTCTGTGCCAAGTGATACTGAACACTTGCTATAAATAACAATAATGCTGATATTTCCACTGTAACAAATAAATATATTTTTGGGTGTGTATCGGAATACCTTTAAGGCTTGTTCTGGGGAAATGTTGGGCTCTGACAGGAGCTCATGTTCAACACAGCGTCTCAGCTGAGAGTCTTCCTCAAACACACCCTCCATATTCAGCACCAGCCAGGCGAACCAAACCTACAAACACACAGACAACACCTGTCAGGACTGGGAACTTTACTAATGTGATCAAGAGTACTTGCACGTACTGTCGATGCAGAAGGGACCCTTACCTCCGCACTCAGGGACTGGCCCTCTATGAATGAGGGCGTGGCATTTCCAGCGATCCAGCCAACCAGAGAGGAGAGCAGACCCCGATCTCCATGGTAACCCAAGGCATTCTGCATGAGGTATGAAAACAGGAAAATTTTCAGCTATTGTTGGTGTCGCTGAGCCTGTTCAGCCTTATTCAGTCAGTGGTCGCTGAAGTTTTCTAATGAGGCATTTTACTGGTGACTCACAGTTGGCATGCTTGTTTATAATTTTGGAATATAAATGATACCAGATCAGTTTTATCAAAGCGTGAATGAACCAGATGCTGCCTGCACAACAGTAAACATCAAAGCTTAATGGATTAAAGGCAATTGTTCAACATCCCTCACCACCAGCCTCTTGCTTCTATGGCAATGTATGAAACCTTAATGTTAATATAATATTTATCTTTCTAATATTGCCGAAGGCAGTTTGCAGTGCTAAATTCAGTATCTGCACCTGTGAGACACAAAGAGTCCCTAAATAATGCAAACCTCCAACACAACTGATTAATACCTTATGCTGCTGGTACAGAAGTTTCTGCACACATTCCTCCTGATGGCGTGTGAATGCTGCACAGCAGATCTGATCCATGAGGAACAGGACTGTCTTGTCCCGATACCACATGTTCTGCTGAGTCAAAATCCCCACCCAAAACTCCAGCACTGCTGCAGCACCAACACGACCGGGCTGTGAGCTCTCTATCACATGACTCTGGAAGATTAAAACACATTTGTTCATGTCCTCTTTTGTTTGAAGAGATGTAGGGGTTAAAACAACTTACACTAATTTCGAAAAATGCTTTTGCTGAACAATTTGAGCCATCTTTTTTGTATTTTTACCAAATCTTCGGGAAATGTTGAGAGATTAAAACCTATATCAAAGGTGCAAATAAGCCTCATGCAGTTTATTTTGTGTACAAGATACCAGCAATTTTTCCGAGTAAAATTTCAATGATTTTCCTCCTGACTACTGGCTCATGATATTACTGACACTTGCATACAAACACAGAGTAAATACAGTGTAGTCTGTTTCTACATTCATTCCAAACCTAAAAATATTTATGGTAATTTTCCATCTTTTTCAAAACCATTATAGAAGATCTGAAGATCTGTAAGACATCTTTACCATTAAAGCTTGTTGTGACGAACCTGAATGACACTGTTAAGCAGTCGGACATTGTCTCCATAGGTGGTTCCTGTGAGGAGTGGCGCGACTCGGTGAGTGACTTGCTGTGTCACACCTTGAGGACACACACTGTCATACTGTAGGAACAACTGGATACAGCTTACAAACCTGACATAAACAGAGAGATGACAATAGAGGCAAAAGTACATTTAAGTATTGGAGATACAATAGCTGCTGCAATAGATATCTTTTATGGGCTGTTTGTGAAGCTTGCATCTTTCTCACTGAGCGTTGTTGAGCAGGTAGAAGCTGAGAGGGTAGGTTGGGGGTAGGATGTTGTCAAGTAGATGCACAGCAGCTCTCAGGTGGCGAGATTGAATGAGACTCTTCAACAATCCAACTCCATCGGTACAAAAGTGTTCCAGACTGGAAAGGAAAAAAAGAAAATCCACAGGAGATTCAATTCTAATTATGTGTATGAATGAACCACACGCATGAGGCATTGTGTGAGTGAGTACAAACGATAGACTGAATATAAAGATGGATGACATGACGGCTCCCCAGAAGTGAAGCCAAAACCTCTTGATCACCCCCTAGTGGCTAGCTGCAGTATAGGTCATAAACTCTGCCTCCTCCATGTTGGTGGTTGGGGCACGGGCCAAACTAAAAGATCAGTACAAAGTACATGCAAATAAACTTTTCCCAAAATAGTTTTTATCGTGCTGATACTTGTCCAAGTCTTTGCCTTTTTTACGTTTGTTTTTAATTAGTTAATTGACGGTATAAAAAGGGGTTTGACGTCATGAATGACAGCTGGGTGTGTCAAGATGGCAGCTGCTGTATTTGAGATATTTTGGCTTCATTTTTGTAAGGGGAAGGAAATGAAGACGCATCATCCATTTTTTTATACAGTCACTGGTACAAACCTATGTCCAACTGCTGTCATGGCGATGGACAGGTAGCATCCAATAGGAATGCCTGCTTTTATAGCCCTGATAACAGAGTGCATGCTGGGACTGTGTGTAAGCTCTGGAGGTGGGTTGGACGCCAAAGCAGGGACCGACCAGGCTCCTTTAGGGTTCTGTGAATTGCCATGGAGCTTCAGCCTTAGTAACAGTTGCCATGCCCACTGACTAAAAGACGCTTCAGGCGATACCCCCAAACGAAGGACACTGGCAAGGTAAGACACCTGAAGGGAAGATGAAAGAGAGAGAAAGATGAGAAAACAACACGTGGCAGTTTACACTGAGCGTCTGTGAGCAGAGAGTGGCTGTGTCACCTGTTTGATTCCCTCTGATATGAGGCCACTGTATGGTTTGTCAGTAAGGTACTTCTGATAGGCTTCAGCCACCAGAAGAGCCACTTCACTGTGGAGAGATGAACGCAAGGCCAAGGAGCCGTCCTGCAAGAGGAAACAGGATTAACTTCAAACTCACTATCAGGGCATGATATCTGGGCATGCCATTTTTTATGAATCAGTGACTACCTGTGTGTAACCCCAGTTGAGACCCTCCAGTATGACGCACGCCAGCCGGTTCTCCACAGCAGACAGAGGATGCTGAAGCAACCAGGCTCCGATCACACATATCTCCTCTGGACGTGGCTGCCACAGACTCAGAGGCAGCTCTTTGCACAAGTACAAAGCCACCTACCAAAACACACAGACAAAACAAAAACTCATGAGTTCGAGCTGAGTGTCAAATTAGATATTTTTTCCTCTGAATGTTCTCAACTACATGCACTTCAAGGTCCAGTGTGTAGGATTTAGTAGCAGCTAGTGTTGAGGTTGCAGAACTAATACTCTTCCTATGTGCCAGACGTGTAGGAGAACTATGGTGGCTGACGCAAAGATGCAAACAGCCTGATCTAGAGGCAGCGTTTGGTTTGTCCCACCTGGGCTACAACAAGGCTGACTCCTTGGAAAAGGACCTGCTCCATATGTAGATCTAAACGGCTCATTCTAAGGAAATTTAAATGCAATGATTCTTTATTTCAGGTGATTATACACTGATGAAAACATAGTTTTGAATATTATATAACAATTTCTAACAATAGATGCCCCTAAATCCTACACAGTGGACCTTTAAGTCTCAGTACAATAACAATACCAACCATTCCCACAGTTTGGATGGTCTCTCTCAGTCTCTCCAGGAGCACAGAGATAACGTAGGGATGGGCTGTTGCTATGGCAGCCAGCAACTCCCTCCCAACTTTAGAGTAAGTTTCTCTGGTAGACACACTCACATAAGACACCTGGAGTGAAAACAATAAAAGAGATGTCAAGAAAACAAGACAGGTACTATATGTTTTTCAACCGAGGGTCCAGAGTGATAAATCTTTAACCAGTGTTATATCCTTCAAACTTTATGTTTTCTTTATGCTACCTTAATATTTTCATATTGATTACCTTGGGTACTCTACATTAAATACACGGTGTCCTAATTCATGTAGTCTATGTATAATATTTAAGTAATACATCAACATTATTCTGCTTCTTTGTTTTACACAGGTCTCTTCTGGTATTTTCTCTCTGTATCTCTTTGTCATACCTGATACATGAGCAGAGTTATGGTTGTGATGAATGCGGGGTCAGAGTGCTGAGTCGGTGTGGCCATGTGTGCCAGTGCGGTGAGGAGGGAGATGCCGTCAGAGCTGTTCACTTCGCACAGCCAGTGCTCAAACCTCTCCTGGTGCTCTGGGTCTGTAACAGACACATTAAATAAAATATGATGGCGGAAAATGTCAACATCAGACTGAGAAGAAGAACACAACCCATGTTTAAGAACCTGGTTTTAAAATACTTGTGAAATAGATATCAGGGTGTCTACAGACATGTCTGTGGCACTTTAAACCTCACAGATTCAAATCTAAGACTATTTTATGACATTTAAGGCCTAACATTTATAAATTTGAATTTAAGACATTTCAAGACTTTTGTAGGATTTAAAAGTTGATATTCTGTGCAGGTTAAGAATGTATACTGGTACCTCTAAGAGCCTGAATGCATGAGCGTGTGTCACTAGAAGCGCCAAGTGTCTCCAGTCCTGCTGTTTCTGCACACTGCATAGCATAAAGTACCCTCCACAGCATAGAGCTGGACAGAGTCCCATACGGCATCTCGGACATAAACAGCCAAATGCCCAACCTGTAAGAGAGGACCACAAAAAAATAAGTGTGAAGCCCATAAAATAAAATAAAAAATCCAGGTGATAAAAACTTGAGGCCAGTTCCTCACCTTTTGTTCCTGAGTACATGTAAAACAGCTCTGAGGAAGAGATTGTCATATTCCAGCTGCAGTTTGTCCAAAGACAGAGAGTGTCCATGAGATCCATCAGCACCAGTTACACTCACATACTGGGCCCAGTGATCGCTGACATAACACACTGTCATTCTGAGGTAAAAGAGAAAAGACAACATTTTGCATATTTGATGTTACATACTGCATATATGTATAATTCTACTGTATATTGCTGGTGCACTGACCGTATGATGTGTCCTATTCGTTTAACTAGCTGTCTGTATCGTGCCCTGTTGTAGGTTTGTAGTCCAAGAGCAAGAATTTCAATGAGCGAGGAGGCAAAAGCAAAAACACGCATCATCTTCTGACTGGAACAGGCCTGGGGTTCATACACACCTGGAAGGACAGTGGTGTGTCAGCTCATTCAGTTCATGAGTGATACAAACCAACAGACAGAAGGACAGATACACTCCTTTACCCTGCTTGCTCATCCCCAGCATGTGTGAATAGAGCTGCTGGAATGGGAACTGGGTCAGCAGGGAGATCAGATCCTCCTCACAGAGCAACAACCAGCTGCTGTCTGGGTCCTCATCCTAAACACAGAAGAGAGGGCAATGCAGTTAGAAGGTAAGTGACCAAATAATGCAGTGTTTAAAGAAAATAAATCATGACAGTCTCTATTTTACACTTGTTTAAATGGGTCCCTGATCTGGGCAAGGCCCTCTAGCTCCTTTTTGATCAGTTAATTAGGTTTTACTCTCAAGGCACAGCCAGAGGGAGGAGAGTGTCCAATTTGGGGACCTCAGAAATCCACCTCTGCTCTTGGCAGATGTCGTGGTTCTGTTGGCTTTCTCACAACATGACCTCCAGCATGCATCGGGGCTGTTCAGCCAAGTATGATGCTGTCAGGATGAGAGTCAGTACCTCCAAGTCTGAGGCCATAGTTCTCTGCTTCTCTGTCTTGGTGGGTTGCTCCCTCTGGGTTGGGAGAGAGTTACTGGCCCAAGCAAAGGAGTTCAGGTATCTCAGGTTCTTGTTCACAAGTCAGGGTAAAATGGAGCGTGAAATGGACAGGTGGTTTAATGCTGTGTCAGCAGTGATGCAGACACAGCAGCCGGACTGTTGGGGTGCTGAGGGAGATGGGCTCTAAAGCGAAGCTCTTGATTTACCGGTCCATCTATTTTCCTATTCTCACTCATGAGCTTTGGATAGTGACGGAAAGAATGAGATTGCAGATGTAAGTGGCCGAAATCAGCTTCCTCCGCAGGGTGGCTGGGCTCAGTCTTAGAGATAGGGTGAGGAGCTCAGACAACTGGAGGGAGCTGGAGCAGAGCCACAGGCACCTTTGCTGGAGGGATTCCCAAGCAGGTGCTGGAAAGCACTGCTTGGGAGAGGAACATCTGGAGTACTTTGCTCAGCCTGCTGCCCTTGCGACTTGACTCTGGATAAGCGGATTAAAATGGATAGATGGATTAAAAGGGTTCTATCACGTTGTTCCTTATTTTTGATCATATATTCAATATTTCAATCTCAAATATTCATATTACACATGGCCAAAGTTTCAATTAATGAGGTAATCTTAATACATTAAATGTAAACGTAAACATGTTTTAGTAGAAACCCAAAATACAAGCATGATCCTGAAAATGAGCTCCTTTAAGCCAACTGATTTTTTTAAGGCAGGAAGCAAATGTGGGGGCACTTATGAAAGTTTAAAAAATACACAGTGTCTTAAAATGTTACTATTTTGCAAAATATTATGTTCCTTGGAGGCTCTCAAAACAGCAACAACACATTAGTACTGGCAGCCGACGTTGTTTTAAGGCAGCAGACTGATATTTAAACAGCCAAAGGTGCTCATTTGGCACCTTTTTCACAACAGCCTTGTCGTGACTCAACAGAACAGAACAAATTCATCAGACACAAACCTCAGACATATCACTTTTTCTTGAGAGACACAGACTGGACACTTTTTTAACACAACAACATCACAAACAGAGATAGAAAACAAAAACAGGTACTGTTTTTACCAGAAAAATAATACTTGCTTAATAAAGTTGTCAACTTATTTTTCCACGCAACTGAGTAGAAAAAACATAGATTGATCATTTGTGTTTCATTTTTACTGACAAATTTAATTTTTATTATCATCATCCCATACATACACACCCCTGAAATTGTCCAACGTAAGAACTTAGCCCCATTTTTTAGGATTATTCTTTGTTTTCGAACTCTGCTGTGTTTTGTTTCTTTTGTCAAAATGCAGTCACTGGCTCCTTACACATACCTCCTCTCCCCCTTCATCCACTAGCGTCCAGTTGCCAGACTCAGGTCCAGAAGCTGCTGAGCTCTGGCTCTCACATGGCTTCAGATGTCCCAGAAACTCTGCACGGTGTCTGAGTCAAAACAAAGAAAACACTTCTTAGAGATGTAAGATTGTTAGACCCTGAAAGGATGACCTGGACCACCCAAAGACATAGTCAGTGGGGGAGAAAGACTGATTACTGAAGGGCTCTGATATTTACCTGGCAGGCGACATTAGAATGGCCAGAGCTTGCATAAAGTGCTGCACTCCACTGGTGTTTCCCCAAACTTGGATCTGAGGCAGATATTGGCAAGAAAACTCCAGTCAGTATGTACAACCACTGGCATTGCAACAATCAAAGAAAAACCGTCCCTAACTAACCTGAAGGAAGGGTGCAGCCCACTTGCCAACCCCCGCGGGACAGCACAAAAGATGGCACAGCAGGTACAGATGCTCTCCTGACCCTCCAACATGCAGCAGGACCGCCACCTGGAGAGTGGACCAGAACCATGAGGAGAAACACAACAACAAAACACCTCATCCAATTGCACATGGAGTGAGAAAAGTGGTTCAGTGTTTGTGTGTGTGTACCAATCTTTCCAGCCAGTGATGGATGTCTGTCTGGAACTGTGTGTCATCCAAGACTCTGCGAGTGAAGCTAAACAGGACACTGACGGCCTCTTTCAAGGGCTGGAGAGAACAAGGCTGCGTTTGACTGCCAGAACAATCTGATAACAAAAACAAACACAAAGCTGTTGTCTGGTTTGAACTTAACATCAGAGGCGTGTTTTAACGGGCACTTAAAGTAGAATTTACAAGTCTTTCACCTTTTAGCAGACGATACAAGTAAGATTCCACCTGGAGGCGTGACAGAAGAGCTGTGTAGGCATGTAGCGCCACTTTCTGATGAAGCAGCTCACTGCGAGCTTCAAACAGTCTCCTCAGCTCAGCCAGCACACTCTGACTGAACTCTGCCTGCTGGAAGCGGTGGTACCCACACACCTTAGACTGATCTGCACACACACCCTGTAGGGAAGAAACATTACAGTGTCATTTCAGCAGAATACCATTGGTTTATATCCTTCTCTTCACATGATAGTTCTGCTTTCTGTTTTAACTACCACACCTGAAGTGTGAGCTGTTCATCTCTGAAGCTCCAGAGACGATTCTGAGTGCTCTTGCAGTCAGAGGACTGTGTATGTAGCTGCGTGTGTGACTGGGTCAGCTGTCTGCGGCAGCGCCAGTAGTTCTGCAGCAGTTCAGTCAGTTCATGGTTCTCCTGACGGGCCAGAGCACAGAACTGGGCCGCGCACACTTCAACACCCTCTAGCCAAGCTCGCAAACCTCCGCCGGGCTCCCACACACTCAGCTGCTCGAGTGAGAACGGCTACAGAGGAAAAACATGAAGTGACAGAGGTTATTTCACATGTCAAGGCATGTGTTTATGTGAGGATGCAATAAATTTAGTCACTTAATAACTATGTTATTATCTGGGTCTGGGCAATATTGACAAATCAAATATCACAATATTTTGAATGAATACTTTAATATTTATATAGTGTTGGTGGATGATGATTTTTTTCTTTTCTTTTTTTTTTAAAAATGAAATCACACCAGAACAGTCTAACAAGTCACAGTCACTTTAAAAACATAAATTCAACTTATATCATCACAATGCAATATGGCTAGATATGATAAGCACTTTTGGTGGATAAAACATTATGCCAGAAATATCTGCAATGAATGATATTATTGTCATTTTCGAACCATTTTATGCCACTGACATAATGATAATATAATAGCATAATCCTGCAAGTGGACTAAGAGCAATGGACTTTTACTTGTTAAGAATATTCAAACACTGTAACTGCAAAGTTAAAAGAATGTCAAAATATCCTCAATAACTAAAATGCAAATAAATGGCATGGCTAAGCATGATTTCTTTATGCTCTTTATGCTTTTGGCTTAGGCACTATGCCAAAGTCTTATAATGGCAAGAAAAACCCTGCTGTTTACTCTGGCATCAGGTTGGCTAAACTTTTGGCGATATTCTTATGTAAACAAGCACAAATGTAAACTCAAGGGCAATATTTTACGATAGATGGACATATCCTCCATAATTTATGTTCACCTCAATAAATTGGTAACTTTAGGGCTGTCACAAATTATTGTGACAGGTCTAAATGCAATAACCATAAAACTATTAGCTGTTCTGTTGATATTGTGTGAAACTGCAGACTGAATGTGCAGACAGATTGAAAAATCTCCTGAAATGGTGAAGTCATGTGCAACTAGACAACAATTACATACTTAATCTGCTTGTGATGGCTTGTAAACGCTATTGTGCCATCACCATTACATTCTAAATCTTTCAGAAACACCAAGAGTCAAATTATTATGCACAGACTCTTAAATGCTGTCTTAAACAAACTGACTCGTGTGAAATAAATACTGTGTTTAAACCCACTCAGTCTTTATCCAACTGTACTCCTTATCTAAGTTATTGTTATGCGTCTGAGATTACCTGAATTTCTGGAGCTGTTTTGGGTAACTCTGGGTAGAGTTTGCTTCTGAAAAGGTCAGCTACAGACTCCACAGGCTGCAAACTTGGAGGGGAAGATTCCTGCTCAGGAAGTGCCAACACTGCAGGCCCCTTTTCTCTGTTCTGCACAGCCTCCTCACAGAGCTGCATCATGGGGCCTTCTTCTAATGTTGGGAGAGAAGGGTAGAGTGCGGGGGCACTTGGAGCATTTGAGATCTGAAACTGAGTTGAAACACAAGGCTGATTCCATGACTGTGTGTCTTTTTCCAATTCAGTAGTCGGTGCTGCAAATTTAAGCTCGGCCCCCTGAGCTGCCACTCCACTATCCTCTTCCTCCTCCTTTTTTGACTCTGTCAGATGCACTGTAACCTGTGATGTCGACTCTAAAGTCTTAGGTAGCACTAATGTGGGTAACGTTTGTGATGAAGAGGTCTGTTGTTTCTCAGAGGACAGATCAGAGGGCTGTGCTGTGGTTTCAGGGGGCTGAACAGGGTCCCGTTGCTCCTCCACTGGCTCCTGATACGGCAGGCTGAGGGGGATGTCGGTGAAGCCAGAGGTGGAGGCCTCATCACTGACAGCTGAGGGAGCTGTGGCTCTTTTGTCTTCCTCTGCCTGTTTCTGCTTCCTGACCGTCTGAAACGCAAAACAACAAACAAAGCGATAAAATCAATTTTTCATAGTTAACAGCTCAGCCTGTGCCGTAGTGTTTTCCATGTGACAAAGGCCTCATGACTAAAGAGAAAACATAGATATTTTTTGGTTTTGGACATGGTCCTTTGTGTGAAGTTTCCCAGTTTGTTCCCACTTACAATATATAATATATTGTATCATATTTATAATATACAATACATAATACTAAGTTGGCCACTAAAAAGCTCATAGTTGCGAAAAGGAGTGTGTTTATAACTGCCTCAAGATCAGTACTTGTTGTCAGACCGTCCACCTGTAACCTCAAAAGAAGTGACTATAAAGGATTTGTTTATTCACCTGAGATTTTCCACTGGTTTTTGTCTTGGTCTTCCTTGGTCTTACAGCCTCCATCTTTAGTGTCTGCTCAGATCACACTGACATACAGCTCATCAAGATGTCACCTGGTGGAAACGAGGCTGACCAGCTGACCACGAGCACTCCTCATACGTACACTGGATCCACACAAACAGCAACCATTAGCTGGAATAGCTAGCGAAGTCTATCCTCTGATAAGCAGCTAGTGGGTGGCTGTGCTGTCAAGATAAACACTTGTCACGGATTGTAAACAAAACACTCTTGCATGGCCCGTTGAGAAAAGTCTCTGTCGGAGGACAGCAAGGTAACACCTAGCATGTCTCTTAGCGTGGACAGAGAGGACATTTTTGGAAAACAAAACCAGTCCTTGTTGATTAAACTCCACCGAGCTACACAACTGAAGACGCTTTACCAAGGCTAAGCTAAGCTAACGCGTAGCTACTAGCTCGTTACGCTGTCTTACTCCTCTATAATCTGTTCACCAGCGACCTTGAGGTCTCCACATTGTTGTTCACATTATCAAAACAAGATTTCAACACGTCGAGCCGAGTGACAGGCGGAGGTAGCCCCGTCCGGTGGTCAGCTGTCATTTGTTTTGTCTGTTCCAGGAACTCCGCAATCACAATCTTTGATCACGTGACTACTCCACCTCTGTACTGAAAGCCAGAGAGGCCAAACTACATTTTCCGTAAACACACCCAAGTCACACTGGCAGTTTTCTGGAATGTACTGATGTCACAGATGATTTCCACTCATTAACTGCTGCATATAATATGATTCAGGAAGTCATACGCATTCATGAATAAACAGATTTTATAAAAAAAAATACAAAACAAACAAAAACAAATACAGTCTTCCCTAGTTCAGAGTTGGTATAATGAACCTAAAAAAAACCTTTGATCTGGTGTCAGAGTTGTTCACTCTGCTTTCAACTATGGTAATTATGCAAGAAAAATAGGCTAACCCACAACTCCAAAAGTAATCTGATTACATTGCAATTAATAATTTATCAATCATGTAAGGGTGAAGTCAGGTAATGTGGGACACTTTTGGGTAGATTACCAACTACCAATTAAGACTACCTTAAGTTTTACTTTTAAAAGTTGTTATGTACCTCTGTTATATATCTGTAAAGAAAATATGTTACCATGTAAAATAATTTAGAAACTTTGGACCTTAAAAGACATCAAGAACCTCTACCTCACTGCGATGATATGTTCAGGTGAAAGGGGACATCTGATAAGGTAAAATGGGACAGATATGTTTGTATATATGATTAAATCAATGTATCAGTTCAGTCATTAATTCAATAAATCATCAACTATTTATTAAAAAAGATTGTCCAACTTTTCTGCCACATTTTCCCTGTTCTTTCGCTGCCTGTGTCCTTGGTGCTGTATTGTCTACAATGGACATGCGTGTGTGTGTCGCTTGCATGTAACATTGATGGGTGACATGGACTTACTTTATCATCTTTAATATTTTTAAGTGACAGAAATAGGCTACTAAAAATGTCGCCCGAAAATGGTAGCCTAAAAACACGCTGGTTTCACTTAAGAAAAATGTCCTATTTTACCTGAATGCATTAACTCCTCACTCAAAACCCTCTCCTATAAAATGTTAAGTATATTGTAAAAAAAGGTTTCCATTATAAGTAAAACAACTAATAAAATGCAGCATCCTACAAACATTGTTGTTGTTGTAATTTTACTGTTTTAACTGCAGCATTCTTGCAGAAAATCGAACCAGAAACAGAAAATCAACATCCCACATGGCTTTCCTGGCAAGTTCTGGGACCAGTAATTTTTTGACTCTTTGCTCTGCCTTATCTCAAAGCAATAAAAATTGTTTCATGAAAAGGACATTTGTTGAAACAATGTAATAATATATTCAGCGACTTACTGCTAATATTTAAAGAGCCCAAGATGTACAACCTTATTTGTCCCATTTTAACTGATATCTCAAATAACCTGACTTTACTCTAGCTTAATAAGTTGCACTTTTAAAAGTTTCTTACCATTTCCAGAAGTGTTCTCAATGCATGCACAGGCAGGCCATGATTCACAGAAAAATATTTATTTACAAATGTATATTACAGTGATCTTAAAAAAAATCTTCCCTTTAAAATGCATTTACTGGCACTTCTCAACTAGACACCAAAACGATAATCAAATGCTTTATCCTGTTTGCATTTTATGACGAGGAACACAGTAAGTGCTGGTTCATTGCTGCAGTTGGTGTTACCAGCCATCTCCTATCTGACATTATCAAATGAATGTGTGTCACAATCACAACAGACTCTCTGTCTCATAGCATCCAGCCAACACGTCATCACACATGTCACACAGTCAGTCAGTGAGTAAATCGCCCTGACAAGTCAGTTCTATTTAGGAACTGGAGACACCAGATGACATGCTAGACAGAGAGGGAGAAAGAGAAAGAGAGAGAGAGTGAGGCATGGAGAAGTACTGAGTCCTCTGGTAGATGACACAGCTCACTGGCTAAATATAGCTTCTTAAAACCTCTGTATTTTAAGTTACAGGTGAAATTGTGTATCATAACACTTTTATAATGCACAACATAATTGAACATATACATAAGCTAAGGATGTGATGTAGGGAGCTCTTCATACAAAAATAATCAACTACATTTTCTACAAATGGATTTAAAGTATCACTTCACCCACAAAATCCTCAGCTGTATCTCAGTAAGTCATGCTGTGTTGAATTTGTGAAGAAGACTTTGTTTTTCTCTTATGCCTCCATGGAAAAAGGCGAACATATTGATTTATTGGGGACCACATTAAACAACAGCAAAACTATATCAAAACATCTGATTACAAACTCTCACATAACTCGTGCAGTATAATCCTCAACCAGTCTTATGCTCAGTATTTCCCAAACACAATTTGTGAACTGCACTTAACTGAAAGTGAAATTTATTTATCCTGCCTTTAAATCCAGACTCCAATACTAAGGTACTGAGCACACACCTGGATAAATAAGATGTGGGCCCCTTTTAATCTGAGATCTTGCTCTAAGGCAACATCCCTTCTTTACGCTGCCTTGTTTTTTCCCCCACAATAACAGTGGCATAACATGGCAATAGGAATCATTTACTGTCCCTGTTATATGGTGACTGATCTCTTTCTCTGCTCGGAGGGTGAGGGGCTCCTGGACCTCTTTGTCTCCCCAATTTGAGGTCATTTTTGGCTGCTGTTCTTCTTCTTTACGTCAGCTGCTAAACGGCTGCTAGCTGCTTTTTAAATCTCCCCTGGCAGTGGGTCATGAACATATCACATTGTCCAAACGTCGCACCTGTGCCATCCATTGTCCCATCCTGCCAGCTGTCCTTTTTACAGAGATGTAGAATAGGTGCTGTTTCTACCTCTATTGCCGGCTTAAAGGTGAGGCATCTCTGTCTTCTCATTCTGCGGCCATACTTTTTATAGAAAAACAGTGAGGCAGAATAACGGCGCAACATTCTTTCCTCGAAAAGGCAGTGTAAAAGGTGCTTTGGATTATACTGCTCGAGTTGGGTGAGAGTTTGTTACCTAGTTGATAAAGTTTTGCTGTTGTTAAACATGGTCCCTTGTCAATCAGTAAATCAAAAGTTTTCCGTGGAGGCATGTGAGAAAAACAATGTTTTTTTCATGCATTCAAGGTAACAGGGCATGACTGATTTACAAATGGTCATTTTGTGGGTGAAGTCTTCCTTTAAATCATTTGAAAGCTGTATTGCTTGTGGTTAAAGTTGTAAATACATTACACATACAGTACCTTTAAGGCTTATTCATATAGACACAAACCATGTTAATAAAGTTAGATCATAATTACTACACAATATTTGTAACTCTCATGATGACTCTGATGTCTACGGACAACCTAAAGACCATGTCTATGATATGCTCTGTTCTCCCAGGCAGATGTCAGATCTCCAGTTTAAGCTCATTAAAAGAGTCAATTGATGTCCATCCTCTACCTTCTGCTTCAGTCTATTCAAAGCCATTTAAAAGGCACATAAGTCTGCTGAGAGCACGGTGAAGGAATGTTAGGAGGGCATATATTTACCAGAGGTTTGACACACTGTTTGTTTTGTGCTTTTATGGGGGGTTGCTGATGGACTGCAGGGTGGGGTTATCTGGACTCCTGTGTTCTGGCTGTAAAATGTGTGTAAAGGAAGTTGTTCTTGCTTGTATGTGTGACTTGGCGCCTCGCTGAAGGCCTCAGGTGTGTGGTGAATGTATGCCTGACTCAGGGCCAAGCTGAGGATCTCTGTCTTTTCCTTGTAGAAGCGCAGCTCAATGCCTCGACGGCGGGCCAACACCAGCTCCCTCTGCGCCACCTGCAGCTCCTCCCCGAGTAGCCCTGGTGACCTCTGCTCCCGTCCAAGCCAATCCAGAGCCATGCTGCTGCGCATGTACTCATCGAGTCCTCGCTGAGAGTAATAGGAAATCACACTCTGAGGGGAAGGGAAGAACATAAGCAGTCATCAGTATGTAGCAGCTGATGTACTGAAGCTCTGAAAAGTTAGCTGAAGCCAGAGATGAAATATGCTCCGGGCAAAACCTGTACCTGCCGAGAGCACTGCCTTTCCCTCAAAGCCTTCAGAGTCCCGTTCCACTGCAACAACTGGAAAATTGTCATCATCTCCTACAGGGAAAGAGAGGGGAGAAAGTGGGTGAGAATGAGACACACATACACAGAAAAAGTCTTGTGCAACTCCTTGAGTAATGACTTGAATAACAAACCCAAACATCCAGCTCTGTGTACGTAGGTTTGACAAAGATAACATATTATTTCTTGAACCAACACCTAAACTGTGGATGATTGGTTTGAAAAGATATTGTAAATCGTCATGCACCAGGTAGGTTTCACCCTGATTATTAAAACACTGTCTGGCTGAACAGCTGCCATGTGTTAAGAGCTAGTGACATTAGTGTTAAACAGAGAAAGTCTATACATTAACTGAGATTGACCTAATGAGACACAGATGGAAAATATGACACGTAAGTTGTCCAGGGTTAAAGTCCATAAAATGTGCATCTGCCCTGTGCTACTTGTTTAAGCTTCTGCATGACTAAACTATCCAACACCTCCAGCATGGACTGCAATGTATAAATGATCCTAAGCCGTGACAGCTGCACACCTCCTGGTTGATGCTGTGTGCGCAGAGATTTGAAAGCAAGTGTGTGAATACATTTAATTATCTGTGCATGTACATGTGCGAACGTATGGACTTGTGTGTATTACTTGGAAGCTCTTGATCTCTAAGAGCCGGGGAATGATAATGAACCCATTTCCTGCTGCTAATAACCCTCTGTCTGCAGACGTCTGCTTATTTACACAAAGGTAGAAATATTAGGTGTTTCATACCGTGAGTCCTGTCTGACTGAGAGCGAGATGAAAAGGGAATAAATTAGCAAAAACATACTAGAGTGGTAGTGATAGCAAAGGGGGGTGAAATTACCACCCAGTGGTTATGAGTCTTGTTATATTTGGCATAATAATTCCTAATTATGTATAAATGATAATGCTCTAATTTGTGGTTCAGTTATAAATGCATTATTTAAGATCACTTAGCAGACGAGTACCCCTTTACAATCCCTGAATCCTTTGAAGTAAATCTTTCACACATCTACTGCATGATTTATGATCCCAGCTACAAGAAAAATACACTTTGCAAAATACACGTTACCTGGAACTCCAGCATGGTCCTTCCTATGTAGGAGTGGAGCAGCAAACTGTAGGTTCCTATACTGGTGCTTGAGTCACAGGCATCTTCTATAGAGACCTACAAAAAAGCACATGTATTAATTTTTATCGCAAAAGCTTTAGTGGGTAAGTTACTACAGTAAATTTCCAGTTTACCGACATATTACTCCAGTAGCTATAACCCTAGGTCATCAGAAAGAAATCTCCTCATGGTCCCAGCCACCTGAACACTCTGCCTTTTCCTTTCATGCACCATTAACTTGGAATGAGATGAAAAGTATACTAAATATGGAAACTTTACCTGCTCTTGAAACGGTTGAAAGTATTTTTAAATCAACTTTTACGGAACAATGTTACTACTTTTAATAAATGTCATTATTTGCCACAATTCTTTTTAGCCCCTGATCCCTAAACATTTTGTATCTGTTGTTGTGTTTTGGTATGTTTTTTGTTATGTTATCTGTCTCATTTTGTAATTAAAACATTTAATGTTGCTGCCCATCTTGACCAGGACTCCCTGGCAGAGAAGATACTGCATCTCAATGGGACCTTTCTGCAGTGGTGGAGGGAGTTTCAGTTACTTTACTTAACGATTTGAAACCTGGTGTGACATCACTTTTCTTGTGCTGCTAAACCTTTAAACCCTGAGCAAACTGGTGGGATTTCTTTCAAAAAACATGGGGGAAAAAAGGCAAGGAGCAGCTTGGTAAGAAATGTCCCATAAATTGCAAACAAATAATTTTGTATGGCTATGTATAATTATGATTATTATTAAATATTTAAAATTATGTTACAGAATTATTATAATTTTAAGCACCTTTTTCAGGTCATTTCCTTGTTTCTTTATTTTTAACTTTATTTCTCTCTCTCTCTCTCTCTCTTTTTTTTTTTTTTTTTTTTTTTTTTACTAATTTTCTCATTTTTAATTTTCTGTTTTTCCTAATGTTTTGCAATTTTTTTCTGGGCCATTTCTTCTTTTGTTGCTCATTGTCTTCTTCCCATGTTTTTGAAAAAAATCAAGCCAATTTGCTCAGGTTTCAAAGGGTTAAGTAAAAGTACTTATACCCCATTGTGGAAATACTCTGTTACAAGTAGAAGTGCTGCATTGAAAATGTTACTTAAGTAAAAGTAAGTAAGTATAACCAGTAAAATGTACTTAAAGTATTAAAATAAAAGTACCCAATACAGAAAAATCTATAAATAAATAATTAAATACAAATAAAAACCAACACACTCAAAATTATTTAAAAAAGATAATAAAAAAAAATATAAAATGACTTAAACGTTTATAAAAATAGTTGCCAATTGATTTTCTGTCAGTTGGTTAATTTATTAATTGATGAATCTTTATAAATGCACATGTATTAAGTGTTGGGTAGTTCACTTTCTAACAAAACATCATATTGTAGCCTATAAACTTTTCTGTCTTTTTTTTTATGCAAAAATCTTAATTCCTAAATTAACTACTAACTAAAGTCTTCAGAAAAATGCAGTGAATCAAAAAGACATGAAAAATAAATCCCTCTGAAATGTCACATAGGAAAAGTAGAAGGTGGCATTTAAAAAGAAAAGACTCAAGTAAAGTAAAAGTACCTTATAGTTGTACTTAATTAGAGTACTTGAGTAAATGCACATAGTTACATTCCACCCTTGCCTTTCTAGTTCTAGACAGGATAAATAAAATACAAATAAATAAAATACATAGACAACAGTGCAGTCAACATTAATATTGAGGCTAAATTCTTGTAATGAGATGCAACACTGTGTGTTTGCACTGGCTCACACTCACAGCACTGTCTGTGGCTGCCTGCTGCAAACTCTGAGTGATGAACTGAGGGTTGATGCGTCGACACGGCAGCTCATTCACAAGTGAGTTCATCAGGGCCACGCGAGCTGCATCCCTCCGAGCCTCTGCCTGGGTGTCACACACCTGTGGATGATGGGATGAAGAACATGAAGGGTTAAAAATGTCAAGAAGAGTTCAAACAGAGAGGGGACAAAATGTCAAAATGTGTCACGTCAAATAAAAGTTTCTGAGCTGGCTGATGTGTGTGAGCCTAGGATCAACTAAACTTGAGTCAGTGGGTCTCGTGTGTAAATGCACATCCACTCTAAGTTACATTATGATGATTTTACACTTCATTACAGCTAATCATGGGATCAGAACTCAACATCACCAGTGAGATTAGAACATTAGAGGCATTCACAGATAACCAATCACATGCCTTCTCTGAGCTTGGGGCTGCTGTCTGGGTCACAATGAGCCCATTGAGAGGCATTGTTTGATTTAAACTGAACGACATTGATTTAAAAAAAATCTTCAAAGTGTGTATGACTGTGTGTTTATACCCACTGAGGGAAATATATGCTTGTAAGTACTTTCCTCTGAATAAAAACTAATTTGATACAATGGTTATATTTGGTCAGAAAAATAACAGTTTGTAAGAAAACTTGATTTTGGGGCTGTTTTACTTTTTAATTTATTTGAAATCTATTGTGTGCTGCTGCAGTTGCCTGGGTTCAGACCTTGGAATCTGCCCACACCACCGAGTTGACTGACAGTCGAAAAGGAGTGTTGACACATTGACAGCTCTGTCTGATATCAGGCAACTGCTGCAGCAAAATAAAGAGAAGCATTTAGATTAAAAAGTATCATTACTATATATGTGTAGTTAAGTTAATTTGAAACAGCCATACTAGTCATTTACATAGGATAACAGCTGATGTTCTCTGCAGCTGCACTGTCAAGCAGAAACATCACCCGCATCATCTACTTCCAACTTTGTCAGCTTGCCAAACCCTATGGGGGAAGACTGGAGTCATGTTAGGGTTTGAGGAGTAAATATGACCTGCAACAGCCTAATTTGTTTCTGCTAAAAACATGCAGCTAAATGCAATTTAGAAATTGTCATGCACATATGTTTTGGAAATGTGCAGAGATACAAATATTTTAGGGAGATGTGAAAGATGTAGTTGTTGCCTAAATAGGATTTGATTTAGAGCTTCAATGTATTCTGGCAGCCACAGAGGACAATGCAAGGAACAGTCATAACGCGAAGTTGATTGGAATACTCTTACATATAGCAAGGACTGTTCTCATATTTTGGATTTCTAAGGACATCCCTGAAATGGACGACTGGTATACGGAGGTACAGAGAAGAGAATACTCTCTCTGGAAAAGCCGACCTACACCCTTCATGACAATGTTGAGGGATTTATCAAGATATGGAAACCAGTCTTGGACACGGGGGATCCTTCTGGACTGGACTGGTTACACGTAATTAGTAACATTGGAACTTACTACAGCATATCCCAGTGATTTGAATGTATTAGTTCACCATGAGGTGTGTGTGTGTGTGTGTGTGTGTGTGTGTGTGTTTAATTGTATTGTGTCAAGTGTACGCCCAACTTCACATGAAGGACAGCTAGTGTCTCACTGACACAGCACAGTCATGTCAGATGAACTGTAGTGTAGCTGCAGCTCAGTTGATGATAAACATACCTTATAGTTACCAAAGCAGCTTCCTCCGGGCAGAGTGACATAGCAGACATACGGAGGACCGGGGGACGGTGCAGACTCATACAGCAGCAGGCTCTCTGTCTGGATGGCGGCATCCCCAACAGAACCATCTGATTCACTGGAGGAACCATTCAACTGAGCTGTCTGCCTCTGCTCCCAGAAGTGATGGAGCATGGCAACCACATTCACTGCACACATGTAATGAAGACAGGTCAAAAATGAAACATTAACTAACATTAACATTAACTAAACTGTTGGAGGGTATATCAACACATTTTACCAATCATGATTATGTAAATAATTTCTGCATTGCCATCAGACGTTTCTTTTAGTCTCACTCTGAGTAAGCCTGTCAGGATATGTGTGAATGTTAACATAAATATTCAAGCCAGGCTTCTTTAAGTCAGCATTCCCAGACAGTGTTTATTTAAGTAAAATTAGGAGCTGTAAGTGGCACCCCATAACTTATACATATGTAACCCTTTGAGCTTTTTCTGACCCTGAGACAGGTTTAAAAGTTTCCTGTGTCCTTCGCTGTGTGCCAAACTACTCACTGCAGCTCAGCCTCTGGCAGCAGGGATACTTAGGAGGAATACTTTGCAAGAAATGTGATAAAGTTTTAAGAAATAAATGAATTGCTTGCCTGTTTTTGTATATTTAACATCAGTGGTAGTTTGATTCTGATATCTAAAACAAAGATGTGTCTATGTCATCTTGAAACATTGAGTTTATCACAAAGCATTTACTCACAGTCTGTGGGGCTAGTGTCAATCTCGCTCTGCGACAGGTATGACATGATGCTCTCCTCCACTTCCGCTTTACTCATCCTCATTCAGTGTTTTCTTCCAGAGCTGCCTCACACACAATCTGTTTACTTTTCTCATCAGAACAATCCATCAAAACAGCACTCATGACCCTAGAAATAACCAGCCAGGACGGGAGACATCATGAGGAATAAACTCAAAGTCTGGGAGCCCCTCCACTCTCCCTTTCTCCCCTCCTCCTCCTCTCCTGTGTGAACACCCCACTAGGGTTTCTCTTTTGAAGCAGACCACCTTTGTTACCCTCTCTGCCAATTAGCTCAGAGGGCCCCTCACTCTTTCTACACATACATGCACACACACACACACACACACAGAGGTGCAGAGCTGGAATGCTGAGCCCCTCCCTTCGGGGCGTGCAGCTGGCTAATCCCTGAACAGAGTCGGACAGTTGAAGACCTGCACAAAGTTGCCAAGTTGAGCCAAAAATGGCACAATTACCACCTTGAGCCACAAGATAATATGACTTGTTCTGTGGAAAGGTATATTACTGGATGCTTCTTTTAGTATTAAACACCCTCAGTGCCCAGCTTGTCAGGGACCCAACATGTAGTGTCTTATGATGTGTGGGGGTGGGATACTTTTGACTTCACACTCTAATTCAAGCCCACCGAGCCCAGGGTCTGAGCTCCATTCACCCTCTTCAATATGAATGCCCTTTGTTCAAGTCTGAATTCACCCGCTCGCTCTCTGAAAGCCTCTTACACATAAATGAAGCAAATTCTGAGAACGTTTCTTCGCTCCAAACTCCTCTGCTTTCTCATCTTTTATATGTCATGCCTCACTTGAGTCGTGTTAGCGTGACGAAGCAAAGAGGTCTATTTTATGTTCAAAGTGTTGATGCGTTCTGGAGCATTCTTGTGTCAGTCTCTACTTCTTTTTTGATTGGCTGCTGGGATGGTGGAGGTAGCAATCTATTCAAACTACCATAATAGTTGGGAGACCTTGGAACCATGGGAGTTTAGCATAAAGAAAAGCTCTTCGTGAACTCTGTTTGAATCTTAAATTCACATTAGTCACCCTGTCAGCAGTATGCTCACACCTAGCATGAACTTGAAACCACAATATCAAAAGTTACTCAATAGCTTTCAGTCTTTTGTAGCCATCATGGATGCTGATATGAGTATCAGCTAAAAAGAATGTGCTCAGAGTTGACTAGAGAGCATGTTTGACACAGGTGCATATGATGTCCTGACAGAAAAACATTAATTTTAGATCTGTTAAACTTTTCTTTTGAATAAATCACTCACCTTAGGGTGTTTAAATGGTTTAATAGTCAATCATATTGCTTCATTATGAATAATTGATATTTACATTAGACTGTGCGTTAAACACGATAGGTTACTACAGGTCAAATAGAAAAATAAACATTGTCTTCTTGACAGTGTCATTTGCTGAATACAAAGTTTATTTTCATTTTTCTCTCCCAGAACGGAGCAGTTCAGTTGTTGCAGAAACTCTCTTGTTGAGTTTTTCCATCAGCTATCATGTGTTTTCAGTTCTTCAGATTTAGGAGCAGAGGAACCATGAAGCACGCATGTTAACCAAACAACAGGCATGCTGTCATGAATCCTGTCTGTCCATCTCTGCAGTCCCATTTATCCCCAGAAGGAGGCACCCTCCAAACTAGACTTGATGTTACTTTGGTTCTCTCTCCTAGATTTGGTCACCAAATTGGCTTCTCCCTTCTGCAGACGTCTCCTCTGTGCTGCCTTCTGCTGTTTGGTGAGCTGCCTCCGCACCTTCTGACGGACTATCTCCTGCAGGACACACAAAAACAGCAACAGCAGGTTACTACAGACAAATGGACGCTCTGGCTGTCTCTGCAAGGCAGACACAACATTATGAGGACATGTCTCTGCTACAAGTCACCCTTCACATTCTTTGACGGCTCCATGTGGAAGCTCTTTAGCAACACCTACAGGACATTTCAGTTTTTACCAAAAGTGTATATCAGGATTGCTTCAATGTCTGGTGAAATTTTCAAGTCATCATCTCAGTCAGAATATTTGTATTTTTTAATGGTACTGTATTAGTGTCCCTCACTCTCAACTTGACACTTGCACTACGGTTTAATCCTGGGAAACAGGACTCCTGGGAGGACACATCCAAACAATTTCCTGTTTCTTGGAAAATATAAAAAACTAGTCAAACTAGTCACGTTCTAAGTGTAAACCAAACAGGCTGGTATGTACAAAACATACGTATCACTACAGAAATACTAAGTTCTTTACCTTAGTCCTTTAAGTCCTCCTGTGTGGATGCAATGCCCAGAGTCGGCAGAGATATAAAACTCAGTAGCAAAAAAAAAGCTAGCAAAAGTCTTTTTGGCCCACCAAATTTATTTATTATAGGCTAAGTGAATCAACCACAAGAACCCTACCTTGCTGTTGCTTGGAATATAACCAACGAGTTTTGACTGTAGCTGATGTTATCTTGAAAACAAGTCAATGCCCCTGTATCCCCAGGATAGTGGGCTTCTCTCTTGTCTCATCTTTTAGGAAAAATATTTATCTCTACCTTGTATAATAAACTTAACTGCAGACTCTTGTGTCTGTGTTTTACTCACTGGTGGTATTGTAGAGCAGCTGCCTATGCTGCCCATTGTACCCTCACTGTCTGTCCTCGTCCTCCTGTGTTCTGCCACATGTAGAAGACTGTCCGAGTCTCTGCAGGAGAAAACACACAGAAAAAAAAAATGTTAATATGGCACATTTCACAACAAAAACACTAACGGAAATCCACTGTTGGGATGTAATGTGCATGTTTCTAACAACACTGCTTAATTTGACACAAATGATGATTTATTTAAGTCAAATGTCTCTGAAATGTATTGACTTTTTCTCAAGTTGTCAGGCATTTGTACTGTATCAACACACCTAAAGTCATTTGTTGGCTCTGTACCACAGCTGCAGGTTGAAACTGATTCAGACTTATCATCCAAACTAATGTGCTTCATTTTGGATACTGGATTATGTTAACTTTCCATTATGTTTACCTGAAGGGTTTGAAGTCTTTGTTGGAGGTAGAGAGGTCTGCCAGCTCTGGACACTCATCCTCTGCCTCATTCAGCTCTTCCTCTAAGTCGTTCTTTGGCTCTTCATCACTGTTAGGAGCAGGCGCTGTCTCAGTCTCTTTTTGTTCTTCCACTTTTTCACTCTCGTTCTCCTCTTCTTGTATGTCTGCATACGAGTCGCTGACTTTCAGACCTTCCAGTTCCAGCATTGCATGCTTATATTCCTCCATGTCCACACTCTCTTCTTCTTCCACCCCCCCGTCTGTTGTCTCTTCTTCATCATCCTCCTCTTCATTGTCATCATTTTCTCCCTCTGGTCCAGCTGGGTGTAGCAATGCACCATCCCTCTCCATATCTTTGGTAAAGCCGCTGGCTGAGACTTCAACATCGAGAGAGTAAGACCGCCTGCAGGAATGAACAGTGACAACAAAAGATCATGTAAAACTTCACCTCCAAATCACATTCTTAACTACATGTAGAAAATACAATTAATATGTATTTTTTCTACATTTTAGATGTGTTCAAATGTTGAACAATGTACAAGCTAATAAATCAAGGTGTTTAATTTTCTAACACAGGGCAGACAAAAAGTGGCGATTTTTCATGGTCACAATAAAAAAAAGTTTATGTTACACATCTAAAAATAGAACCAACACAATTTTTATGGTCTTGCAGGAGCTTTATTGAAACTGAAACTTTAAATATGAGCACTTACCTGATGTCTTTGAAGGTTGGGAAGAGCTCACTCTCATAATTGTATCGTTTGGCAAAGAAATCTCTGATACATTTGACATCCCTGTCAAAATACCTATAAACAAAGTTAGGAAAAGTGAACAATGGATAAATCTTTTTGTTAGTTTTTATTAATTTAAAGTGTTCATTAATTTTCAATTTTATAACAGAAACACCAACCATTCAGCATTAGGATGTGAGGTGGACACCATTTGAGGGAAGTCAATCAGAGTTATGTGGTCCTGGTCATCCAGCATGAGGTTGAACTCGTTGAAGTCTCCATGAATCAGGCCGTGATTGGCCAGTTTGACTATAAGCTCCATGAACTCATTGTACAGGGCTGGTGGATCCTGCAGCTCATGCACCTGACACCTGAAAGACATCACAAACAATATACACAAACTATTTAAGAAACAGAGAGTAGGAAGAGTGTGCTTTTACTATCACTAATGCAATATATAAATCAAGAAGGAAGAATGGCTTGTTTACTTACAGTGGATATCCATTGATGAGCTCCATCACTACAGCATGTCTGTTGTAGTCCACAGGTTTGGGAACAGGAAAGCCCCGATCATACAATGCCTGAAAAATCAGAAGATGATTTAATGATGCACCAAACAAAACTGGATCCCTGCTACTCAACTAATAAATTACTGGTGATGTTTTCTTTCTGTTTCACACAGGCTACATACACTTCTCTGATTTGTTCCATTACCTTCATGTAGGCAAACTCCTTCATGGCAGAAAGGCGGGAGAGGTAGAGCCAGGACACGTTCTTCCTGTGTTTGTGGTAATCTCTCTTGTTCTTCAAGTTCCTGAAGGATGTACGACCTAACCTGTGAAGCTTCAGAGCGTACTGCTCGCCGCTTGGACTTGCCACAATATATATATCTACAGGGAGTGAGCACAAACAAATATTTGTATAAACATGAGAGTTTCTAATCTTTGCTAAGCAGCCTTGAAACCTGTTAGGGAACAGATGTTTACATCAGCACCTGGCGAATCATTACACTGCTGATAAGTGAAAGTGCTGTCTTTTCAAACACTACAGTTAAGCTGGGCATACACTGTATGATTTAAGACAGTTTCTGACCTGATTTTTGAGCAACAGGACTCGTATAACAGGTGTACAAAATTTCAGGTTACTCTGGTGTCTTTTGCCGTGCAGTGTACAGGAGGAGCGAGGACCAATTGTGGCCTGATCAACTGCTCCTGACTGGCCACCAGACGTTAAGATCAATTTCTGACATTGGTACTGATACTACTAATTTGTACATGTTTGTGTGTGTGTTTTTTAAGCTCTTTACAGGACCTTACTACGAACTGTAACTGTGCTGGCAAACAAACTTCTACCTGCCTCTGAGCATTTTAACAAATCTTTATTGACAATTATCAATAGCCAGAATGATCTGCAGGGGCTGAT